CGGTAGAATCAAGCATCAATCCATGATCGATTGATCTACGGTAACTCTGAGCACGATTAGTTGCGCCTTACACGCACATCAACGCGATCGATATCGGTGGCCGTCGATGTAACATGCAACGTGCTAAATTCTCAAGCAGATGTATGAGTTCGCACGCGCTTCGAAGGTTAAGCGATGATGACCCGCGGGCGAATATTACTTAAAACCGAAAGTCGCTGACGCTAAATAATATTATTAAGTTCACGATACCGTTTGTATGTATGTGTGTGGTGAGATACGTGTTGTAAATCAAGCGGAACAAGCATGCGAATATTATACCGAGACAACGCGAAATTGATCTCGCCCGGATAAATTCGTTCGCACGGTCGCTGCGTGAATACTGACTGAGAAATAAGCAGAGGCATTTTTTTTTATATATCGCTATTACACGACATTTTCCGTCCACACATTGAGAGAAATCCGATTAAAATTATTCATTCATTTTCAGGCTCAGTTACATAAAACACCTGTTTTTAGAAAAAAGAAATAGTAGTAAATTTCTAAATGAAATGAATAGCACAAATGCGATATGCATGTAAGGTTATTATCATTGACGCTATAGTAACGCTAGAAAAATGTTTCTCTTGGCTACAATTCTTTCATTTATGAGATGATACTTACAAGCACCAAACATTATTTTTCCGTTATTTTTTGTACTTCCGTTATTTTTTGTATTTCCGTTATTTTTTGTATTTCCGTTATTTTTTGTATTTCAGTATTATTTATATTTCATAATTCGTAGATATTGCGTTAATTTCTCGTTAATTTATTCTCTCGCTAGCACGACGGATACATGTATGTGGGTTGTTCGATAAATTCGTAGAGATTTTTACGAAAAATTCACAGCCGATTCTTTTACATTTAGGTACAACTTTCATTTATTTCGTTCTTTTTTTCGAGGATTACCGAACAAAAACGACCAATACATTATTAAGTAAAATTATGTCTAAAAAATTAAAGTAACGAGTTTGAACCCTTCGTAAAAATCCTTACGAATTTTTCGGGCAACCTAATATATGTATCATCGTGAACTTTACCCGGAAACATTTGCTCTTTAATACACAATTGACACAATGACCGTATTTTCGTTATGCTTACATAACTCCCGTGCACCGTTATCGATCGAAAATTCTGGTTCCGTGACGTCGCATACCCGCCGCCGAGTAAAATCGCGGATAATGCTAATGACAATCGGGAACGAGGAGGCGGATAATCCCGTGGAAACCGGCCGCGATAAGGCTGATATTAAACGGCGGATGAAAAATGTTAAACGCTCGCTCATATATTTTTGCCGTATTTGAGACTGGAATTTCCAGCGAAATCAATATATATGTGTATCGTGATATTTGCATTCGACAGGACGGCAGCACACTTCCTGTTACGCCGGCTGCTGGCTTATTTTGCGAGCCGTTCGGCCATGAAAATTCAGCCACGGGAATAAACGCCGCGTAGAGATAATGCCGTTCGGCACCAAACGATCTGTAAACAGTGACCAGGCGTATTCACATTTGCGAATGGTGGCGAACAGGCAAGTTTAACATAAGGCTCAAATTTCGATTCGGGCATCCCGCCTGTTGTAAGTGAAAATTTCGGCTCTGTGTTAAACCTTTAATTCTACAACACAGTAGGAGCTAATAGCAGGACAGCTGACACACAATTTCGCACTACTTTACACATCATTTCAATTTTAATAATATAATTTATTTCCACTTGGACCTGACGATACCTTAAATTTCTGTCCTCGCTATTTCAGCGTCAAATCAGGGGTTCTTTTTTACAGTAGCATTCAAATTTTATCTGCAGAATTTAAATTTCAGAAGAGAAATCACTAAGTATCAGTATCGTAAAAGTAGGTTTTTCTTAGTCTACTAGCCATCTCTAAATAGACATAAATTATCTTTAATGTTAACTGCCGAGTGCTAACTTTCATTGATTGTGCAAAAACTTAATTGATAAAATTGAAATATTAAAAGTTACAATGTGCAATGTAATTTGATGTTGGTATCGCTTAGAATTCTCTTTGTTTGTACGAATCTTGCATCCAATATAAAATATTATTATTATTATTATTATATATCCTTTACCTCTCGTTTAATTGGCTCTTTATTGACTGTACAAACAATTTGGTAGATGCAATTCATTATACTCTACATATAATTTAATAAGACACGATAGAGTATCATAGCGACGATCATCAGTGATCACCACCGACGTTCAACGTGTTGAGAGCGTTAAAACAGCATCGGAATTTCGACTCGGAAGCTTGAACAAATTTCATGATCTTTTTCGCTTTCTTTCACTCTCTTTCGCACGGCTGGAACGAAGTCTGGAGGCGTGGGTCGACACTCAGCTCGACGCAAGAAAATTAGCGGTACTTACGAGAGACGGCTGTTCCGTGACGACACGCCGAGCCGTGAGACGGTCGTCGCCGAGCATTTCCCTGCCTGCCGGGATTTCGCGGTTTAGCGCCGGCGGATCAGCAGAGAAGTGCGACAACTAATAACGCCGTGGGAGATGAATATCGTGGCGATGTTGACAATTCAACGGCCAAATTCGATTACGATGGATTACATCAACCGCGAGAAAGATCCCGGCCACGTCTTATGCCGCGCTTTAACATATCATGAATATGTGGATGTCTCCCCGGTGTGATCACACCTTGTCCTTTAAAACGTATCTATCTTTCTCTACATTCCAATGACGCGTTCATCATCATCATCGCCGGCTGCATCTTCTTACGAACGACGTCGTAAAGACGGGGGAAAAAAATTCCGCTGACTTCATCCGCTTTTAGCGGCAGTTACGCGCGCGCCTTCCTTCTCTTCTGCATTCTTGTAGAAAAAACAGGGAGAAAAAAAATAATCATGCATAATGAAGAAAGAGTTGCTCTCCGACCGGATTCCTCTCCGGGAACGTCCGATGAAATTACTCGCCGTTGATCGTAATCTGATGAAATGACGATTGCGGTATAATCGCCGGCGAGAGGGGAAGAGAGGGGGGACGATCATTCGTCGTTTAAGAGATCGATTGTGTAGCGGTGAAATGACGTTTTCTAGTTTTCTGAATAGACGTAGAGAACAATGACGCAATATAGAATCGCCCCTGAATACTGATTCTCGGTCACGGTTTCGAGAAGGTATTGCAAATCAATTTTTTTCTCTCTACTTTTTTACCTGAATATTTGATCCAAGAGCATTGAGTTATGGTGCGCATTTTCAACGCCTTTCTATAGCAACCGAGCGGAATCGTCTTCGACTTTTATCGGCTCTCGGAGTGAAATGAATTTAGCAAGAGCTATTTAAAAATTGCGCTAAAAAAAGCGCAGCGCCGAGATTCTACGTTGTGCAATCGACAAAGGATGATTGATAAATTCGCGTAATGAACGTTATCGCGCAGTTTCGCATGTATAATCAATATAATTTCTTACGTCGACGCGCCGCTGAATTAAAACCGTCGCGTCTGGGCGAAAGAAGAAGAAGCGGACAAGATAATAAGCAAAATAATTCGCTCTTTTCGCGGTATTCCGCTTTCGCCTCCGTCATCTCCCGAAAACGCGAATTTTTCGAAGCGTGCGATCGAGTGGGATATTATCTCTCTTTTCCTCATAAATAGACAAGGTTCGTATGATAATCGAAATGCACCGTGCGCGAGATTAGCGCCGTGCGTCACATGGAGGTCCCGAATGCAAATCACGACGATCGATAAGAATAAACGCACGGCTCGCAAACGGGGTCGCACGTTTATCAACTGAAAACGCAAAAATCCCCGGACACCATGTGCACGTCTGGTGTCGCGTATCCGTATGATAAATGGAGCATGCGATGCGTCTTCGCGGGCGCCCTTTAAACTAGGAAGAGAAATATACAAAAAATAAGAATGAGAAATAAAGAGCCAATACAAGCCGGTGTACCGATGTCGATCCGCAAAAAATTAACCTACTTATAATCATGTATAACACTGTCCGACAAAAATGGATCTTTTATTGCATCACGAGTGTAAATATTTACGATATATTTTTGCCTACTGAACACGAGTCCGTTGCCCAAATTTGGCTATCACGTCACAATTTTGAGAAAAATGGCGTTAAAGAGGCCAAGACTGATGGATCAAATCAAACGCGCGTTTCCTCTGATGGGATATTTTTTACTGTTAAAAGAATTTATTATTATATGAATTTATTATGATACGAATTCACTTTATAATAATTCATTGTTATAAAAATTCAAAAATTTATCATTCTAAGAATTCACTATTATGTAAGGAGATAAAAAAGTAGCTTATTAATGTGAACGAACCTAACGCGTTTTGTTAAAAAAAAAAAACAGAATTCTGGTTCTTATAGAGTTAAATTTGATTTATAAGAATGAGAAATTCTATTTCTTCTCGTCAAAATGAATTTGATTCGTTCATTACTGCGTTAATTTAATTAATCTTTTCTCTCTATGTAAGAATTCATTATCGTAAGAAGAATTTATTACTAAATTATAGAATTAATTGCTACAAGAAGAAGAAGGAAATGCGACCTCTCGTATGCGATGCACGTCGGCCGGAACTCGCCCGGCAACTTCGCGATTTTCATCGACGGATGCAATCGCTCGGCTGCGGCCGAGGTGGACGTGATTTTTTTCTTATTTGCGGGTAGCCACAAATATGATATTGTCTCGTCGTCGGATCCTAAATGAGCGAGTGGCCGGTGTGGCTAAATTCAGACGACGACCTTTTGCGGTTTTAGACACCGGTATGACCTCAGGTTTGAAGTCCTCCCGAGGATACGAGGGATCCTGCACGTGTGTGCGTGCGTTCCGCACGTTCATCCGCAAATTTCGGACGCGCGTAGCTCATCCGGAGTGGGAGGATGGGTCCGGGGCCCACGGGGGACGGGGGGGGACTAAATAAGGTATTACCTTACCAGAAGGTCCCCGAATCTTCGGATGGAGGATATATAAGGCGGAAGGTGTGCACGAGATCTTAAGTCAGTGCAGTGAGAAGCTTCCGAGCGGCAGCTAGCAAAAATAATATCTATTTTTCAACATGAATCGATTGGTGAGTTCCAGTTTTTCGTGCGAATAACAGACCGCGTTACGTAACCGCGCTGGTGTGAGACACCTGTAGACCGTCGAATCCTCAATTGTCTCTTTCTCTTTTGTAAAGCGAGTGGCTTCATGACGCAACCGGCTCTTTTCGCGTTCTCGGACGGTCATAGTGTCAATTTTCACATTGGCCGAAAAAGAGAAAGAGTTGGCGGTGGAAGATCTTCATGTAAAAGCTATACAGTCGTGCCATTAACGAGATCGCTTAGCTTGAACATTTTCGTTAACCGGTAAATAATTGCGCAAATATTGCATAAATAATTACGCACGGTGAGCGCCTGTAAAAATTGTCATAAAGTGCAATTGTTACGGTCAACTGATTTTTTATATGATTGTAGATTCTTTTGTAAAAAATATTATTAGTTGATGCGCACCACACGTCGTAAATATCCCAAGTTTCACTGAATTTTCGGTCGCTAGAAATTTTTAGAAATTTTTCTATTCATCGCGTCTAAATATTCGTACGTTATAATTATCGATAATTATTTTGTAACTATGTTGATATCTGAAGAAACGACCACGATGACTCTTCAGAAATAGTAGTATTTGTAACGTAAGATATGAATTTACACGTGAAAAGGGTAATGATTGCGATATTGTTGCTGTTTTCTCAAGTAATTAATAGTCACGATATCCAAGTATATTTAGTCATGACGTGCTGACTGTAATTGAGCGTTTCTAACATTAATAAGTAAAACAGAAAGTCACTTATTCTTGGAACAAATTGTATATAAATGAAAGTCATCAAGGCTAATAAGAGCCGGCAAGTATAAATGTTTTTGCATAATATCCTTACGGAAATATAATAATGTCCTTATGGGATATTACGCAAAACACTCAATTCGCAGAACGTCTTTGCTCTTGTGTGAGTCTTCCTCACTTATTCAGCCAAGAAATTCTCTAATGTACTCAAATCCAACGTTAATCCACTCAATCGTAAAAAAATTGCGACATCTGTCGTTTTGGTGAATTTTCGAGCGTACGAAAATCCTAAGATTATCTATTTTTTCCCATTCCTCAAAACTTATCGGAAAAAAAAGTATTTCTATTTTTCCGCAATCACGCGTATATTACATTCGATTATAAAAATAAAATAAAGACAAATTGTAATGGTAATATGATAGAGCTTCACAATGGGTAAAGATTATCATATTATTCACATGAGAATTCCGTTGGTTCATCTTTCGATATTTATCGACGTCTAGTCAATAAATTCAGGGACTCATTCAGGGACGTTCCGTTGCTTACTCTCTCACTCTCTCTCTCTCTCTCTCTCTCTACTCCTAACTCGTCCCAGCCCGAATTAATCGAAACAAGTTGACCTTAACGAGAACCCGGCAATTTTCCGCATTCCTAGGTAATCACTTTGTTCGCTCTCGTGGCGGTGACGGCGGCTGCGCCCGTTGACAACACCTCTCCGATCCCCATCGTTAAGCAGGCGGCGGACGGGCCGGGCCCTGACGGCGCCTACAGCTATAGCTACGAGACCGGTAACGGCATCCAGGCCCAGGAAGACGGCCACCTCAACTATCAAGGTACCGACGATGAGGCCATCGAGGCTCGGGGCGGCTACAGCTATACTGGCGACGATGGCCAAGTCTACCAGGTGACGTACGTGGCCAACGAGAACGGTTTCCAACCGGAGGGCGCTCACCTGCCCACCGCACCCCCGATACCACCCCTGATCCAGAGGGCCCTCGAGTACATCGCCCAGCACCCCGAGGAAAACGAATCGCACTAAGGACAGGACATGTAGTTTGATGACGGGAAGCGAATAGACGATTATGAAGAGTCGAGGACGAGTCTCGGGGGAGGAATTTGAGATCGGGAGCGGTCGAGCGCGCGCGCGGACCCGATCGGGGGCGGAATCGTCGCGAAGATCGACGAAGATTTCGACGCCCGCGTAGACGTCTACGCTTGAGCGTCGATTCCCTTCCCGGAGCTCTCCTGCCCTGAACGTTGTTTTGCGCTCGAACCTGTAATGTTTTATTTTTTTAATTCTCTCTCTCCCTTTGTACGATATCTGTACATGGACATTATTTTCGATTATATGCTGTAAATAAATTTCGACCGATATGCAAACTGTGTGTTGGATCCAGCGTTCATTTGTTCGTTCGAGGACGGAATCTGGGTAGACGGGTGGGCTCAAGTAGTTCCGTTGCGTTAATTGTTACGTTTACGGTACTTTTAACGAGCGACGGTAGTTAACGAGGCAGTAAAAAGGCGTCAATGGGCTGTAAAATTGCGGGAAAGTTCAGCTCTCGCGAATTTCTTTGCGCGAGAACTTGTTTTATGATCCGCCGCTTCTTAAAAACACGTCGGCGACGGTAGAGCTCGTACGTCGTCGAATAAGCGAATGACTGTGATTAGCATTGCTCGATCGCGAACATCGATTTCGTCATCTTTCGGATCTCTCCGTGTGCCTATGAAGGTCTTAGACACGATTTCGTAGATTTCGTCGTAAACGGCGACTTCTTCGTACTTGAGCTCCGAAGGTGAGAGAAAATCGCCTTCTCGGAGGAATCGCGAAATTTAATTCGCAACAGCGTGCTGTGCTATTACGCAGCTACGCATTAATTATAACGCCGACAAGGACAAGCATTTGCATTAGCAAATCGTGACAACGCACACAACGTGCGAAAAGATGCGCAATTTCGGACCATATTGCATCAAATATCGATATATCCCGGTAGATCGGGTATTTATGTATTTGCAAACTAAATTTAACGCCATCAATATGCAATAATAGCCTTTAATCCTTTCGGCGCGTCAGAGTTCAATCGAGAAAAATGTCCTATCGATCGGCCGTAGTGGAACGTTCAACGGCATATGTGCGCGGTGAAGGAGTCAACGCGTTTTTTCGGGACCTGTGATCAGCAACGAATGGTTACGTAATCACTCTTTGTATAGGAAAAGTAAATTTTACTCGTATTTTCTCTGCTTCAACCCTTTGTGGCCTAAAGGCGCCATAGGCAATATCTCTCCGAATTTCTTTTTCGAGAAACTCGAGAAACATCACGAGACGATGTCTTCCGGTCTTCAAATCTAAATTTAAAACTTTAAGGATATATATAAATATTTTTAAATGTAAATTTTGAACTCCAAATAATTTTAAATATCTAAATTTTCCATTCCAAATGCGAAAGATTTCAAATCTAAATTCGAGTCAGCGACCATTAGTTTTTAAATCAATTTAAAGCCCAAAAGGCTCCGTCGCGATATTTTTCGAATTTTACAAGAAATGTTGGACGGCGGGCGTTACGGTATTCTTGGAGCGCGAAGGGTTGTCAGCGAATTTGCGAGCAAGGAAATTCTCACAGTTTAACAAAAAAGTGAGCGCGTAACGCACGCATATATTGCGATATCATACTTATCTCAACATACGTCTAAACGTTACACACCTACTTGATTAATTCACCTGAATCTAAGCGACGACGGCGAGAACAAAGACAACTCACAGTATACAAAATAGGCAACCTTTACATTTATTTATAAAATTACGAGATCATGCGCACAAATTGCTCGGAGTGTACGAGAAACGAACGAGTCTCTCTCCGCTCGTTCCCGGTTTACTTTCCCCAACCACCTTCCGACCGACGTCGGCTATCTACTATGTGAGAAGCAAAGCGAGCCTCGCTACAGTCCCAGACAACACAAGATATCCCAAAATCATCCAGAGTGTGTCTAGGACGTCTCGAGGACGTGTCTGTGTCTTAAAACGTCTTGGGTGCATCAAGGATGATCTCAGGACGTTTCGCGCTGTTTGGGAATAAGTCCAAGGACGCGATTGAAATGGTCTCTCCGGCACGTTTTTCTATAAAAATACAAATTTATTGCACGTCACATTGCGTGGAACGGACGAGAGAGAAGGAGGATCTTGGCAGTGTCACTAGGGGGGGGNGGGGGGGGGGATCGGCTGAGTGTGTCTTTCTTTGTTACTCCATATCAGTTACAGTTCAGTTTCGTTTGTTCGGGATCAATTTGAACTGGCGATTGTCGTGGGTGACCGCGTTGGGCGTCGGATTGCCCTTCTCGATCGGTTCCGGAGTGCTGGGCTGCTTGGCGATCCACTCGAGGGCGCGCTGGATCGCCGGCGGGATCGGCGGCGGCGTCGGGATGTGAGTGCCGGACACCTGGGTGCCGTATTCGTCGGCGGTCCAGCTCATGGCGATCGGAGTGCCGTCCGGCGCGTTGTACTGCACCGAGCCTTGGATCAGCTGCGTCTCGTCCGAGGTGCCGGCGTACTTGCGGCTGCCGCTCTCTTTCTGCAATATGCCACCCTCCGTCTCGTACGAGAAGGAGTAATGGCCACGGGTGTCGCCGAGGTCCCGCGACTCGCTCACGATCTTCTCCGGCTCCTGGAAGTAGGTCCCTTGGCCATGGGCGAGCCCGAGCAAGGCTACCAACAACTGAAGGAGTAAGAATGAAACATCGTCAGTGTCTTTCTTTCCTCTCATTTTCGCCAATTGCAATATCGATTGGAGTCAATCTAGCGGTTTTAAATTTAAATTTTTCTTCTCGACAAATATTTTCTGGAAATGAATTCTGATATTCTTCATATAAATTATGAATTATTTATTAATATAAATTATTAATATTATGAATTTAATATTTGTCTCGTAGTTTTTTTAACCCATACAACTAATTGTCTACTTATACGAGCGAGGTATCATATTGCACATAGTCACATTTCTACTTTTAGTAAATATTTGTCAAGAAGTATTGGAGCAACAATTTTACTTGGATCAAGAATATTACTCGAACGATAGCGCTTTTTTCAGTGTACAGGTTTAATTCTAATGCTACCTGGAACAATCTATTTTGATATTAAAACAGCAAAAACGGAGATTTGTAATATCCTCAGGATCAAAGTGGGAATAAATGATATTATTAGAATAAATGATATTATTAGATATTATTAGAATTGAAATTTTGAACCTTTATCTTGCTATCTTTTCTACTATGTTGTAGAATTTAAAATTTAACACAGGGCCAAAATTTTAATTCGGGTTATCGTGGATTCTGTTGGAAGCGACGTTGCATGCGTCCATTTACGTAGCTGTACACCTTATTAAAATTCACGCGTATGTATTCATAATATTATCGATTCAAATTCATAATTATTCATAGGACCTTGGATTTGCGCAGTTTTCAAAATAAGTGATTTATCCGCGGAGAGGCGTCTAGCAGTTTCTCGCGTGCATCGCGTCGCGGCGATTCCACCACCGAATAGTCCCCGTGACGTATAGAAAAACGTAAGTGGTGCACTTTATTTCATTACGTCGGCCAATTACGCCCGAGAGTTTAATTGCATCAGCCAATTATACTCTACAATTTAATTGCGCTCGAAAATGACCGAGGATGCAAGACCACCGTGTTGTAATTTTATTACACATCACTTATCACGCTTACATCACACATTGCTTTCGTTTTTCTGTACACTGTGACCTTGCATCCCAAAAGTGGTGTAAATTACTGTCATAGATCTTAGGCGGGAGGATTAATTCGCGGTGGCAATTACATCCGCGTTTGACCGAAATTCGTGACGTCGAGCGAAAAGCTGCGCCCGCACGATTTCCAGAGACAGTTACCTAATTGTGAGAACAATAATTTTACCACGTTAACCGAGTTAATCGCAATCCCGTCGTTGATTGCGCCGTGTACACGTGGCGTCGTTTTTCCAAACTTACCGGTGACACCACCGGGCGTCCTTCTCGCGTCTAGTACTCATCATCAATTAATAATAAACACCTTTATATGCGTTCCGTGAGATAAGCATTTTACCACCTCATTAAATTCGCCTTCGCAAAGAGACGCGCAAAGGTCATATTAAAAATAGCCGGGGTACTCTCTCGTGTTATCTCTCGCGGATATCTCAATGGACGGGTTCGAAGGGGTAATCGGGACGATGAGTATCCGGCCAGGGGCAAGACATCGAAAGGTTACACAGCTGTGCGTCTTGCTCCGTCTCCGAGGAGGCGCGATCTACGGCGATGGCGCGACAGGAGCGCGCTCACTCATGTACACACGGTGTGTGCTTTTGATCTTCGTCATGTTTGTCCCATAAAGCCGCCGGAGATATACCTTTCCCCGCGAAAGGTCAGGACAAGATGAATGTGTTGGTAGGTGGGTCACGATACGCTCATTGCGACGTGGCGAAGGGTACGCGAGGGGCAACCGAGAGATCTCACGCGCTAATGACGCCGCGCTGCTACATTGCTCACGATCGCTACGAACGTGACTTTTTCTCATAACGATGGTCTTCGATTAGCGTCCAGCGGCCGATTCATTCTCAACCGGCGTACCCGTCGTCCACCGTTTATCGCGCGACGGATAACCGCGGTCGGTGTGAACAAACGCGGTTTCTTCGACGATGCTTTCTTAAAAAGCGCCGACGTCGATCGTGAGTGAAATTAATTAACTGCAAATCAATCGGAGAGATCAGGTTAAAACACAGTTTCACCAATGCGTTTAATGCGGAAGTAAACTATTGATTTCGAATTCACATTTTGTTAAAGAAAAGAAGTAATCAGTTTTAGATTTGAAAATTTAAAAAGATTATTTTTCTATTTTTGGAAATTGAAAAGAATTTTTCAAACTTTTAATATCTCTCGAACTTAACGTATACAGTAAAAAATTTGGTGTTAAATTTCACACATTTCACATGTCTCGAACGGTCTACACAAATTTACGTGTTAATTTAACATAAGTTGCATAAGTTGAAAATGTTGGAAAGTAATATAAAGATAACGTCTAAAACTAATATAAAATCAATATCTATAGTATGTGAATCGACACTAGTATAAAGTGTGTAAATTTAACACTTATAATGTGTATATCAACTCAACACAAAATATGAAAATAATACAAACGTAATATGTTCAATTAACATACGACTGAATATGAAAAATTTAATTAATAAAATTTTAATGAAAACCAATTTTAACACAAGTACAAAATGTGAGTTTTGTTCTTTACCACGTAATAATTTCTTAATACCTCCTTTAATGTCTCGTAATATATCTCACATTTATTACATACATATTTTAAACTTTGCAGCTTAACCTTTAACCGTCCATTAGCAATTCTCATGTGTTTCGAGACGTTTTTTACACGACTCACGTTCTCAATCATGCTAATTTAATCAAGACATATCACGACAGATTGGCGATGGATGCTTAGATTTGAGAAAAGGCTAACAAGCGTGTCGGGATCGGCATGAGAAACCGACCGGAGTTTACGATGATACACGTCAATGAGTTTGAATACCGCCGGTGGATATCGAACAGATAATATTCGAACCGGCCGGCCGGCCGGCCGGTTCGATGTGCTTTCTACGCGAGAAAGTAGACAATTAGAAAATATACGTATATGCAAATCGACGGCTCTCGCACGGCACGGTCTGTTTTCGCCGCGGCGAGAACCGACGGCCGCTTCGGCGTGCTCGCGCGAGGCGCGCAACGCACAACAATGTGCGCCGTCGTGGCTGTTGAGTTATGTGAGTTTTGCAAATTTAATGTTACATAATTTAATAGATTATGCAACGTCGTAATGGCCGTTTTGCGTCGCGTAACTTTCATACGGTGATAAATAGCTCTATCGTACACACGTAACGTTAAATCACGCACGGCCTTTTATGAATACTCGTATGTACACACGTAGCCAAATTCGACCTCCGCGGAGAGAGACGCGGAGAAATCGGACGCGCTTATCGTTTATGGAAATTCAATATACGGAATATGACTAATACGGAAATATATGTGGGAGTCGAGTGCATTCTATATTTCTTCTTTTTTTTTTTCGTCCGTTTGTTGGCTCTCTTTTTTTTTTGTTTTTTCTCCCCTCGCGAAAGGCTGTCGCGAAGGAAAATTATTGCGCGCGGGCGCGTTTTATCGGCGCGTTTTTATCGGGGTTGATTTATTATACAGCGACAAACGGGGCGAAATAACACGGCCGGATCGCCATTTATAAATGACTTCTGAGCGACGAATAAAGTGCATTGTCAGTTAGTATTGTCAATTTGAAACGCGCGTATTAATAACGGTAATATCCTATAAGCACGAGTTAATCTATTCTCTCTTTCTCTCTCTCTCTCTCTCTCTCTCTCTCTCTCCTTCTCTCACTCTTCCCCCCTCTCCCTCCCCCTTTCTCCTGCTGCATTGTCGGAACTTGCGTAATGCTTGATATCGCGCTCGATATAATATATACGTGTGTGTACGCACACGTATGTGCATATATTTTATATCCGCCTGTAATTTATGTATTTCCCCGTGTGTCCCAGATACATAAAGCTCGTAAAATTATCAGAGCGTGATGGCGCATCATACTTTATCTGCGCGTGCTACACGTAAAAGCTTCTCTCGCAAAACAGCCCCCATAAAATTACAACTTATATTCATGCATACGTTACCGCGAAAGTTGTGCACCCCCGCGCATTTGTTAGACGGAAAAACATTGCTGTCTCTTTCTCTCGCATAAAGCATGTTGATTCTTTCGTTATTTTCCCCCTCCGACAGGCGCGCGCGCGCGCGCGCGATCGAGCGCCCGACAAGAAACGTCGGGGTAACTTTTACCACCCCGTGGCAATTTGATTTCGCGCGATCTCGACCCCCGAGTTGAAACAGCACCAAGTTGGGCGTAACGAGGTCAGGCGTTTCTTCGATCGCGTTTGGCGTCGCAAGGATACAAACGTTTTCCTTGTCGTGCAGACAAAACCTTCAATGTTCATTTGATGCAGCCGGAATAAAAATAAGACTCTATTGAAAACAAACGAAACGTCGTTACGAACTACCTTACATTCTTCGTTAGAAGTTCCCTTCGCTCGCGGTTAAATTTCTCATTCGGCACGGCTGTTTTCTCAGCTAATTGAACGGAAGGCACAACGATGGTGGGGGGGAGGAACGATGTTAAATCACGACGCTAAGGTCCGTGGCGCACAGATAAACGTAAGCAGTGAGACTCGAGCAGCAGAAAAGTCGATAGTTCTCGTTGCGATCGGAAAATAATCGACTGTGATTGGTCAATTTGTTTGAAACTTACGTTTTGTTATTCACGTCTTTCTGTGTGCCTTCCTGAGCCGAAATTTAAGTCCTACTTTAAGTTTAATTTAGTTCTACATTAAGTGTTCAAAGGTCTTCTATTGAAGTTACTTCTCCATTTGATGACTTAATGTAGAATGACGTAGACTTAATGCGGAACTGAAATTTCGACTCGAGCAAGTCGAGTCGAAATTTCAGTTCTACGTTATGTCTGTTTAATTCCGCATCGAGCCTTCAAAAGTCTTCTTTGGTGTTCCCTTTGATGCTACAAATGGGAAGTTATTTTCGTCTTCTTCACTTGAAGACTTAATGTAGAGTTAAGTAGACTCAATGCAGGACGATAATTTCGACTCGGCTGGTTCCACCATCTCTCACGGAGGATTCAAAACAGGGGAGAACCCGCGACGGAGAGGAGCACTTACCAGGGCGCGCATGTTGTCGGCACGAGGACGACGGTTACGACTACGAAGACTGCGAGAACGAACGCGCGTTTCTGCACGCGCCCGAGAAAGCGAGACTTCTTAAGACGGAGTGGTATGGCGCGTTGTGGCGGAAGGTGAACGACGCTGGCGGAAAGGCAGGCACCCAGGCAGCGTCACATGTAGAGCGCGTCTCGCTCGGCTCTCTCGATGGTTGCCGACGTGACGTTCGCGAGCAACTCTTGGACCGTTGGGGGCAGAGCCGACCTTTATACCGGCGGAGTCCACGAAGCGGAGGTGCCGGCCTTTACATAACCCGGGAAAGTTTATTTCGGCGCGGTCTGCGTCGCTCCCTCTAGAGAATCGAGAGCAGGTCGCGGAGATCGGCTCGAGAGGCAACACCCCCGCTTTCGTCGACGCTCCCCACGACACGACCTCCACTCACGAGGACTTTTGTCCGGTTGTTGTTGTTGTTATTGTTGCGATAGTAAGCGAGCCGCAACCGCGACGACGTCGTCGTTGGGCGGTTTTCCGAGCGCGATTCCTCGATCGGGATTTCCCTTGTCAACGTTGGGTGACGAGCGTGCGAGCCGCCTGGAATTTTCGCCCTTACGTAATGACGCACGGGACGATGAACTTGCGCAACTCGCGATCTCGCGCCGATGCGACTCTTCTTTCCTTTTCGGATCATCGTGGGATCGGATTGCGAGCGGACCCGAGATCGCTTCGGGTGCGCCGACTCGCGGTACCGGCGAGTCGGTGCACCCGGGAGGAATGACTTATTGCCTTTTCGAGGAAACGCCGATTCTGCTTGTGGTCCACATCCTTGCTGCTTCCCATGTGATATTTCGATCGTCGCTCAGCGGGGATCGTAACATACAACCGCTATGAATTTAGATTTAAGCTGAACGCGTCTCGCTCATTCGTGGTGATGAGAAAGTCATTTAAAAAGCGAACTTGTTATTTTATCATGTCACATCGTATCATAATGATATCATGCCAAATATCGTATCATTGCATCGTTACGTCATATCATAACGTATCAATAGGCATTGATAAGCGCTTGTTCTATAATATTCATAGATTCCAATAAAGTAAACATTATCATCATTATTATCATCATTACATCATCGCATTATATTTTATCGTATCATCATACAACTCTCGCGTCATTTCGTATCATCATCATCATCGTATCACATTATATCATATCATTGCATCATCGCACCATATCATATCATATGTTATATTTAGTCGCGCAATGCGAATCATTAGAAATCACTGAGTTTCAGCTCATTGAATGTAGGAGTTTTATTAAACGTGATGCAGTTAGAAGGTAGTTAGAAGGTCGGAGATTAACGTTCGTGCAACCGATATTCGCACGCTAACAGCTGAGACCTGTGCAAATTAGGACGATTTAACGATGTTATTAGCGTTTTACAATCTTGCGAGATTCGAGGTAGTCCGTTGCAACGTCTCATCGACGTCGAACTGGTAAGTATATTTACGAGGTGTAACTCACTACGTTTCGAGAGAGAGAGAGAGAGAGAGAGAGGGGGAGAGGCATCTCATGGGGAAATCTCTGTCTGCAGGAGAGATAAACTCTAGAAAACCGGAATTCGAAGAAATAAAATTTATCTCAGTTGGATAATATCAGCGTTACGTTACTCCGGCGCGAGAGACCATATGTTCACGCAATCTTTATCATCCCGGGCGACAAGATCGCGGGTCTCGCATAGGAATTTCGATTTCGATTGGATCATCCTGACGCAGGATGGGCGCGTTCACGAGTCTGAACGATGATTCGAATTCGACGGGGGAAAGACTATGGGAGTATTTACGTGGGTTTTAATGTCAGATGCAAACGAACGCGCTCACAATGCCCCACCGTGAGAGGTACGGCACATGCCGCGCGTAGCAAATCGTGAAATTTGAATATATCCCATCGGCTAAACGCGGATGTCCCCAAATGTTGTGCAACAGTGTCACCTCTACGACCCTGACCGTCGTCGGCTCGCGTAGGATTCGCGTATGCTTATTCCGTGAGTTTGCGTAATCCGTCTGCAATTTCTAACATAACATTTGCGAAGAGGCACATTCATTCTCCCGCGGGCTTTCGCCGAAGAATCGACGAATTTATCGTCGTGGTGGTGGTCGTCGTCGTCGTGTCGCTCTCGGCGATAAATCCCGGCGATCGAGCGCTCGCAGAAACGTGAACGAGGACACGTCGGATCGCTGAAATCCTAATTGCGGATATTTCCCTCGTTCGCGGGCGCAGAAAAAGGTTACGTTCAATTGTACCTGTTACTTATCGAGGAGGATAATGACACGGGCGCGCGCATTAAGCGGAGCCGTTACCTGGTCTTCCGTGGGAATTGAACCCAGCAGCCGCCGCCGGTCCTTGGCCCAATGATCCTACCGCCGTATTACGTATTACACGACGCGTTCGGTTGCATTAAGCGATAATTGATATCGATCGTGGAAAAGGAAGGACCGCGGTGAAAGGAAGCGGAACCTTGGCTACCACTGAACGAGGCACAACAAGCTTTTCGACCATCAATCGTCGTTCACTTTTTTGTGCATTATCTTGTGTCTAAAACTGTCCATTTCCCCCCCCCCCCNTTTATTTTTTTAGGTAGTGTATCGCTTCGATACACGATGATTTAAGAGCTGATTAGAATTTTAAATTCATGGGACAAACAAGCTGTTGTACGAAGAAATAAATGAGAAATAAAAATCAGATGTCTGGAGTTTTTCTACTTAGTGTGTGTAAAAGTATGGAAACTCCTTTAAACTAAAGCCGAGACGTTCCCTCGGACGTGGGAGCGAGTCACTTTTCTCACTTTTTCTCATTTATTTAAAAACACCTCATTTTTTCTCACTTTTAAGAAGGAAGCTCACTTTCTTCTTACTGGATTTGAGGTCTTAAAAGAACTCGGTCATAAGAAATCATGTTCAATAACTTCTTTAAAGACAAAAGATTCAAGGGAAATAGAACGTAACAACGAGACTCTGGCGACACAATGTTCATAAAGTGAAGAACTGTGATTTTCTTTTTCGGATATTTTTATTAGGTTTACCGGAAAAACAGATTATGACCGGCATGAGTACAATCGACTGTGTTTTCTTTATGACGCAGTGGAATTGATCTGGTTTTCGTCTTTCTTAAAAGTATCACGGTGTCGATGTCAGGGCTGCCTCTTCAGCCTTAAATCCACGTCTACTGTGTTCTCAGCGACTGATTAAAGTGAATTGAGTGAATAACTTTGCTTGATTTCATCTGCCCACAAAATCCCGAAATCGTTGACAGAAATGTTTGTCCGCGTTGTTAATTACGAATTTGCACCTCATTTTCCAGCACTGAATTTGCACCTCGTCGGTCTCCAGTACTGGCCGAATGTATACGATTCTTACATGGGTTATTGTATCTTTGGAGAATTATGAAAGCTACAAAGCTACATCATAACGAAAAACGGAGGCGGTTCTGTTCTGAAGAATGAAGAAACGAGCGGGATGTTGACGATGAGACTTCAGAGTTCGCAGTTCTACGTGCAGTATCTGCGTATCGAGTGATACGCATTTTGACGACTGATCCTCCGCACGAGAAACTTGAGAGCACCGCGGTAAATCGAGTTGCCATTCGATAGGCGAACGGCGGTGTGCCTCGCTCGTTGCCTACAACCAGGATGAAGTTAGCCCACAGCCGCTCGATCGTTTTGAAGTGTACGTGAATGGAACAAAGTGGGAAAAGTCGTTGCGTTTTATGATTAGCGTGTCGCAGGGTCACGCGCTTGATCGCGTTGCATAATTCGCACCTACGAGAACACCATGTGGAAATTACCGCGGCATGGAGACTCGTCTGTTAGAGACACCTTCACCCACTTTCCACGAGATAGACAGGAAAGTATGCAAATTCGAGGTTTAAGTACGTTTGAACAAACATTGCGCCGCTTTACGGCTCAGATCTCAAAGCAATCCGACGGTGTAATGCTTAAGAGGAAAATACAAAGTTCCCTAGGTCTCTTTAGACGAAACTGGTCGGTCCGTTAGTGATACGATATCATTTTCAAGTACGTAAGAGCGCGATGCCTCAGATCATGCTAGTTTACATTTTTATTTATAACATGCAACACACACATCAATCGATTCACGCTGACTACTCCGCTCGATTCCGACGTTTCGCCACGTTCTTTCTGAAATTTCCAGAAAAGTTGCCGAGATCTCCGCGAAGTGTCCAACGTTCCCAAACTTTCCGCCGTGTCAGAAAGTTTCATATCCCGGAATCGGAATGAATCTCTCCGAGCGATTTCTATCTACCTGCCCACCTCTCTTCCTCTCTTTGTCTTCCTCTGTAATCATGTCACCGAGTGTACAGCTATCTTCCCCCTACCCGAGCCGCCAACCACCGAGCGAGGTGCCGGCCATGAAGAGAGGTGGGCACACACATCCAGAAGAGGATATCACGGACCCCCGCCAGAGCCGTCGGAGTTGTACGAGTCATGCGATTCACAGGCCCGAGTCTCTCGGGCTACACACACGTCACGAGTCATACACGTACAACGGCGCTGACGTCGCGACGTGCTATCATTATTAGTGTCACGTGTGTGTGTGCGTGCATGTACATGAGTGAGTGCCTGCGTGCGTCCGCTCGGCCGCGTGTGCGTTACGATTCGCGAATGATTACGACGGGCGTGCACGCGGACCGCCGCAAAACGCGACTCGTCGCCGGCGGTGTCGTCGCATCGTCGCCCGGACACGATCTCGCGTCGTCGCCGTCTCCGTCGCTGACGCGCGTATTCGCCGGCGTCTCTCGCGAATCCGCTCGCGACCGACAGTGTGAACGAACGGCGCGCGCGCGTTGCGTTATGCCGCGCCGTCGACGGTAGTGCACGTGTGTGCCTGCACGGGAGTGAGCGAGCGAGAGAGAGAGAGAGAGAGAGAGAAAGCGTGTTATGTAGGCTCGTTATCACGAGCGATACGCGGATGACTTTTGTTCGGCTCGTTGGAACGCGTCCGATCCGCTCGGTGCAGGCCGCTGCAATCTGACAGGTAACGCTCTCCGCGTGACACGTGATGCGCATGGAAGTGTCATTGAATGACGTTCACCTGCGAGGACGCGCTCCGAAAAGCGCGCGCAGCTCTCGCACGCGCGAGAGAGCGATTTGTTTTTCCCGTTGTCAATGGAAGCGCGACTCTTTGACTTGCTTCTGTGACGCTCGAGTATCGGAACGATGGGTCGCGGGGCTTTTGAACAGGTCCCGGCCGACGGTTCGCACCAGTGAATGTTCGTTTGACGCTCCGAGTGTCGTAACGTGATTGTAATACGCGGTTCGCCTAATGATTGAGATTTCGGTGCGATTGGTACCGTCGGACAAATCCGCGTTGACGAGGAGGTAAGAATAGTGGTTGGACGGTTCCCCGAACTGATAAACCGCGTGTATGTACGTACGCCTGCGCCGATAACTACTAGATCACTCTCGCGAGACGTGCGAGCGGAGTAGTTGCCGTTTCGCGAACAATTATTTGCCCGGCGTGACGAATCGCCAGTATACACGGAAATATCGTTGGCACAGTGGGAAAAAGTGTGCGTCGTCGAGCGCGAGGGCTCTCCGCGATAAATCATCGTTAGATTAATAGCCGCACGCACCTGCGATGACGCTATCTCTGACTATCAGAACGTCGTAAAAAGCGCGACAATAGCCCGTTCGCGGGAGAGGCAAGCGTACAAGGACACGTGATTTTTCCCACCCTATCTCCTTCGCGTCGAGATAATCGTCGTTGGCGAAAATCTCCGGGTCTGCGGTCGAAAGAGGAAACAAGCGCATGAAATCCAAGTTATCTCGAAGCAGGTAAACGACCGGGGATCAGCTGACTTCCGCGAACGCGGCTTACGTAATTTGCCGCGCTCGCGGGGATCCGATTCTCACCTGACAACGTGTAATATACAAATTCAATAGACGTATCTCTATTTTCTTATAATTTACATATTTTCTCTCAAATTTCTTCGAATTACGTTAATAGACGAAAAAATATTCATTTTCGACAGAATGTATATTGAAGAAAATAATTGCTATCTTCAAGTAAATATTTCGGATGAAGTAAATATTATGTGAATATAGCGCACTGAAAGAAAAACAAAAGTGCTATATTCAAGTAATATTTACTTAGTCCAAATCAAGCATATCACTCCGATACTTTTTAGCAAAATATTCACTTGAGCGTAGCAATGTTTTTCTCCAGTGTGCACCGCCTGCTTTTATCCTCGCGAACGGCGGCGAATCGCGTATCTCGGCGAACAAATGAACGAATCGCGAATTTATCGGTCTTCTGACAATAATAGAATTTATCGCGCGCAGTACGACATCTAATATTACTGACAATTTATGTCAATCGTATGAACGCTGCTGCGGAGTGACTCTCCAGCGCTATTCAGAGCTGTTTCAATCGGTAACCGGATCACCGGGGCCAATAGTCGGGCGTGCGATTCGAAATTAATATTTCGTCGAAACGGCGGTCGAGCGTATGCGAAATATTCAACGGACGTTCCGCCGGAGCCGGTCGAGGGGAGTCTCGGGCTATCAAGCCGAATACGCGCTTTGATCGCGCTGCTTGATACCTAACGGTACGCGCATTCTTCTCATTTAAATCCCACGAGTATTCTATCGCCCCGCCGCCCACTATCATTGGGTCACACTACCTTCCCTTCCTGATAAAATCGGCGGAAGCACGCTCGAATATCGCGTCCGACATATCTCCGCGTCGTGCGTTCATAAGTTTCTGAATGACGTGGATACCGCGGTAAATCGAATCGCGAAAATTTTACGGAAACTCAATCTCAGTCTCAGGATTTTATGCAAGATTTTTGCAGAACCGGAAACGCGTAGTTCCATCCAATGTCTTTTCGGTATATCAAGATTTAAATATGACCTGATTATTAGAGCAATTATAAGTAATTCGGAAACTGAGATATTTATAATTAAAGATGATACTTTTTATGCGTATTCCTTGAAATTAACGCCTTATTTTTAACTTTGATTTTTAATTTCTTCATATTAATCGTGTTTAGGATTTTAATTAAAAAATGCTGTGATATCAAGGACCAATATAGAGACATTATACAAAAATTTTAGGATTATCGATCATCTTGTTTGAAAATATAACGGTGTAAAGTTCAACTTATAATAATACTTATAATAATATTTGTAATAATACTTAAAATAAATATACATATGCACATATTTAAACACCTCTCTTATATACCTTTTATCTCTATTAACTAACATTTATTATTTAGGTAGTGAAATAAATGTATAGGAACGTAATTTTCCTTGATAAATTCTAAATTTATGAATGGCTCTTTTGATATATAATTGAAAATACGGCACTCTTTGATACAATTATCTTAAATAAACAGGTTCGACTATCTCAGAATAATCTTGGGGTGAGTCGATCCTCAGGATAATCGTCCTTAAATACGATATCCCCAAGATATTTTCGGCTTCCGCGGTGTGGATAAATATTCGATTCGGCTTCTGTGTTAGCGCCGCGTCCTTCATTCCTGAATTCGCTTCAAAGCAGCCTCAAGTCGTCCCTCACCCTGAAGAGGTGAATTGAAATGTTCACGAAACGTCGAAAACAAATCCGTAAAAGACGCGACGCTAACTCGAGAGCCAAATCAAGTAGGACATCGTTCCTCTCTCTCTTTCTCACCGTTACCATCTCTGTCCTCAGGTCGTCATGCGACCATGGACACCGAAAGCGGCAGCAACAGCGTCAGCGACAGCGTCGGCGACGAGCAAAACCGCGACAGCAGCAAACCAGTCCTGCCGAAGCGCGACAGTGCCGCCCACAACAAGTCGCACGACCGACAAGTTGACCGCGCGCGTGAAATGAACGCGACGCCGGAAGAGGAGGACGTCGTGTCCGACGACACGGACCCGGACGTCATCAGGATCAGCCACCATCAGCATCAGTACGTGAAGCGCAGCGAGAGCGAGCCCGAATGGTCCGCGGAGGAGAGAGGTCACCTGTTGAGTCCGTCCGCTCGCAAAATTATCGTCGCCCCGACGGCGACCGGCAACAACGTTCGCAAGACGATTGGTCGCAACGACAGCCCCGGCAGCGGTCAGGACAGGTGTTCCCCCCGCTGGCAACAGAGCGAGTCCAGGTCGAGCCCGAGTCGCGACAACGAAGCTCAAAGCCCTGGCAGACTCTTCGACCAGGTCGTCGCGAGACATCATTACCGTTGTCCCTGTGTACGCTCGCTGAAGCCTGCGGTCGTCATAGACGAGTGTCAGCAGCATTGCTCCTGCTGCCATCAGCCACCCACCTGGGCCTCCATCCTGTACGCCGATGTGAACGGCGGCAGCCAAGCCCGCTCATACCCTGACGCGCTCTCGATCAGATCTCTGGCGTCGATCGGCCTGGGCTCTTCCGACGGCCGGAAGCTCACGATACGTAGAGTTCCCACTTCGCCGTCGGAGCTGCTTAACATGGTACATCCGCCGCCGTAAGTGAGCCACATTACCTACGATCGTGCCTCTCGGAGCGTTCCGAAGGAGCGGGACGTGAATCACGCGCGAGCGAGCGTGAGCGCGTGCCTCGCTTCGCCGCTCCGAAAACGGACGGCGAAGTTGCGCGGATGAGCGCACCGATCAGACCGCGTTCTCGCACCTTGGCCGTGATGCCGGGCACGTGGAAGTCTGACGACACGCGGGGAAGAGAGAAAGAGAAAGAGGGAGAGAGAGAGACGCGTCACCTTCGTTCCCGCGTGGTTCTTCTCGAGACGCGTAAAATCTCATCTCGTTGAATTCTTCCTCTAAAAAGAAGAAAAACCGAGTTAAACTTTTTCTCTCATTGTAAAAGGATTATTTCAAGGGGATAAGGTAGTTTTTGATGATTTAATCATGAAGAAAGTTGTAACTCTCCAAGTTGAGATATTCTTTTCGTTAAGAAGAAATTACTTCAAGGAGATAGGATAGTTCCTTGGGAATTTAGTCACGAAGAGAGTCACAGTCAAGAGTAACTTTTCATTTCGAATTATTTTCTTCGTGAGAAAAAAGTTACTTCAAGGAGATGGAATAATTGTTGGAGATTTAGTCATGAGGAAGGTTATTTTTCAAGTTTGTATTATTTTTCGTTGTAAGAAAATAAATTTCTTTAAATAGACAGGATAGTTTCTTTGGATTAAGTGATGGAAAAAGTTACAGCCAAGTGTAACTTTTCAAGTCGAATTATTTTGTTCGTGAAAAAGAAATGATTTTAAGAAATAATTTAGGAGGAGGGAATTAATCGTGAAGAAAGTTAATTGTTTGAACGATTATGCGTTTTGAGGAAAATACAAGTAATTGCGGTCAACAAACACGCGTGATAAAAAGTAACAGTAGGTCAAGAGAGATAAGATGTACTTGATGACGACGTACTCGTGACTCATAAATTCTCGGGCAAATCTGTGTCACTTTACTCGGTTAGAATTTGCAAACGTGAAAGACAGTTTCTTTTTTCCAAAATGAATCATTGCTTTTTCACTGTTCTGATCTTTCTGCAAATTATTCAATTCGCTATGGCATTATGCGCATCGCTCGGTTGGACTGTCAAAAACTCGCTGACTGTTGATTCGCCCGTGAATCATCTTGATATTTTCAGAAGGAAATTAATGTCACACATCACTGACGTAACGCCTCAAGCGCGCTACTTCTGAATTACAATGGATCTCAATCAACACTCGTCTAAAACGCGCAGCCCGCTGTCGGGCTTGCTTTATTGAAAAAGAGGGAGAAAAAAAAAAGAGAAAAGACAAACAGGAAAACGGACCGAAATAGACGATGATCGGACGAAGTGATTGACGTTAATTTATGAAGAAACGAAATATAATTAATCTTCATTTGCGTGAGCATTTTTCATCTCTCTAAACTTGCTCGACACCGTCGCCGTCGCGGAGGACTAACGCCATGAATCAAATTGAATCGCACAGGGACCTGTACCCGCCATATGTTTCTCGCCTGTTAGCTAATTCCTCGCGCAAACATCGCATAAACCGCTAAATCCGACATATAAAAATGAAGCCGCGGCCCGGCGTGATCCTCAGTGTGTAAGATCTACCGCAACGGTGGCAGCTCGGATCACGCTGCAATTACTCCGGCGATTATCTTCGTACAATAAAAACTACCGTGAAGCGGTTCCTGAGTCTCTCGCCTAATGCGCGTTAATTCCATCTTGAGTCGCGAGTTTATTATTACGTCGCCTCGTTGCGCTGATGCCCGCACTGAGCACGGATGTAACGTTGCAAGATCTCGGTAGGACTACTAAAGGTCAGTTGCACCGATGACTTTGATTAACTACGATCAGCGATTTCCTGCAGTTCGTTTCTGGATCATAGCTTCAAAGAAAGAAAGAGAAAGCACACAATTTTAATTAGAAGAATTGGAATAAAGAACAGATTGCAGAATATACGGGATGCGGCAATAACTATCACCACTTTAAATATCTTCGAAAAGTGACAATATTTGAACAACGACTAGGTAAAGATGAGAAAAGTTTACAACTAACGGAAGATACACGAGGCGATAACCACATGTTATACTGAGAAAAGAAAGTGACAGAATCAACAACATTTTGCTTAAGCAAACATAATTTTTTCTCAAACACAACGTTTATAATCCATTGAACAAACTGTACAGTTGCTGTAAAAAGTTATAACTTAATTCGACGATTGCGATTTGATCAGCAACTATATCAATGCAACGTATTGTTGAATCAACGCACAATTTGTCCAGTGGACACAACATTCTTTTGAACGCGGATGACCACCGATTTTCTCGACTCAACCGCTTTTTTCTCAGTGTATCAATGCTCTTTCTGCCAGATCAATTTTTTTCCTACTTTCCCATTTCGAAGATACTAGATTCAAGGTGGTAGTCGTTGCTTCACCTTGTGCAATAAATAAACAGATTTTTAAACATATAAAAGAGCAGAAAAATCTATAGAGTCATCGAATAATAAATTACGTTCACGTTTGACGAATCGATTCGCTTCTCTCGAATCAATTAGTGCAGCTATTATACAGCATTCGCGAGTGGGATTAATTTCAACGGATAGCGAAAATTAATGATTGTTGTTTTAATCGGCTCTAGAGAGGCGCCTGTTCAATTTCCCAACTCGACTAACTTAGATGATTCAGGGCCGATTGCGCTACCAATTAACGCTAACTGCCGCTGATTAAATTCCGTCGTTGTATCACCTGCAGCGGCAGCCAAGCGCTATGATCTGGAAAGGGACGGGGTCAAATTAGTTAATCAACGACGTCGGTGAAATTGACTCTCAATTTACCGTGGACAGCTCTAACCGACGCGACCTGCTCTAGAGCGCGGACGAAACATCGGCCGGCGCGCGTGCCCGACGTGAATCAACGGAGGCCGCGGTCGAAGCCGCTCTGATATCCGGTGTAATTTCGCGGGGTGAGTTCGCGTCTATGATGCCGCGGACGCGCGAGAATCGCATCTTCGCGCTTATAGAGCCAGTAATAGAGCCGCGACAGGGAGAATAGAATAGAAGAGTGATTTATTATGCTATAGGATAATATCTCTTATTAGAGCAAGATTCGAGTACAAGAGAAATACATTTGGTTCCAATACTATTTGCAGATTTTTCTCTCAATATAGTTAAGAACAAAACCGATGATCCAATGAGAAAACTTACCGAGTAGAAATGTATCTAGTCGGCCTGAACCAAAAATTAGTAGCTGGCTAATACAGGCTAAATTAAATTTTTTAACTCGTTACTAGTTTGTTACTGGCTGATTATTTAAACTAAGATGTAGAATCTGCTTTGCTGTTGTTTAACTATTGCATATCAAACATGATAGAGTAGGTGATGTTTATTCTAAAATATATGATCTAGCTGGTATATATATTTGCCATTAATATTTAAAAATGAGGCAAATTAAAATTAAGGTCCATTATTCCATGAAAATCTTTTCCGGAAGGAAAGTAGAAGTGACATTATTGTCCGGCAATCAGTTATGACTTTTTCATCTTGTAACTGTAATTTCTTTTACATAACTAACATCCAACTTATTTATCTAATCACGAAGTGAGCGTTACGTTACTGGATAATATCGACGTTGGACACAAATTTACTACCTCGTGACTAGACACCCACGAGGTTCAATTTCTATTAGGTTCACTTTAGATTAATTCCAAGAAAGTATGTTTTCTCATTGGTCCATCGGGTGCCTTTCCAACTGCATCGAAAAGAAAGCGTTCGAACCATGTTGAAACTAAGTATACATAGACCGACATAACAACTTTAATAAAGTTACATAATTTTAATCAGTAAAAAATACAAATGGCTAGTAAGACCCACGCAGGTCGATGGTTGGAAATAATTACTTATTGCAGGATAATAATGCCGACGGAGTATCGACAGCTGACATTATTATTCTCCCGTAATAAGTAATTATTCACGACCGTCGACTTGCGTGGGTCTTATTAGTCATTTGTATTTCTCACTAATTGAATATCTGCGAGCCTTGATACAAGTTCTCGTTTGTATCAGTTTGAAATCTCCCGCAAGAAATACATTATGCGTCTTAGAAAGGCGTAACTTCACGTGTCAAGGCTGTTACGTCGATCCGTGTACATTGAGTTTCAAAACGATTTGAACATATTTTTTTCGATACAACTGAAACGCAACCGATAGTCCATCGAGAGATTACTTTTCGAAAGCGAGCTCTCCTATTGAACCTCGAACTATATCGAAATATGTGTTTAAGCCGTTTTGAAATCCAGTGTACACACAGAAGCGTAATAAAGAAGGGAAGAAAAGAAACTAAGAGAAAGAGAGACGAGTGACTCGAGAGAGAAAGTGAATCGTTTGCGTCCATCCACGCGGCATCGGTGATCGCACCTCGCCCGAATTACACCGATTAATCGATCGTCCCGATACCAGAGCTTTCTATTCAAACTACGTATTCTCTCGTGACAAGAGAGAGAGAGAGAGAGAGAGAGAGGGACAACTAGACCGAGAGAGAGAGAAAGAGAGAGATGCGCTGCGCGTCTAAGCTGCTCGCGAAGCCGGCAGGTCTCGTAATCCAGGGACTGCAATTCCGGCGTATCGTCCCAGAGGCGTAAGTGGATAATAGGTGTACAATGTAAGACCGTATCGTTGTTGTAAGTAGGTGTGTTCGTGCTCTCCGCGGCGTATTGTTGCGGCTTCTGTCCCGCTTCTTCCATTGAAACGGGACGGCACTTGGAACGACCCGTAATCGTCGTCCTACATTTAGAGTTCGTCACGTCTCGTTTTTGAATAGCGTGCACGGGCCTCCTGGGGAAAAGGCATTCCTTCTCTTCCTCCTCATCAACGTCGTCGTCGAACACGTCGGCGACGTGAACGCGTTAATGATGCGGCGATAAACAGCTGAACGCGCTGTAAATCCACGTGCACGCGCTATCTCGACGCTCTCCTGCCGATACGTGCGGTCTGATTAAGTTATTTATGTCAGAACGTGCGCACGCGAGAGAGAGAGAGAGAGAGAAAGCGGAAAAGAGACATCGATGCGCACAAATTCCCGTATATTACCGTTGCAAAACTCACGATGGCAGATTAGCGGACAAATTATTCGCGATCGCGAAGATAAACGATTGTCATGTCTTTTATCTGAAATGACATTGCACATTGAAGCAATAATAATAATAATCACAATTGACTGTTCTTCCGCAATTAATCATTCACGACTTATTGGCCTTCATGGGCTTCATAATTCTCCGCAATTGAAAGTCCAAAGTTCATATAAATAATTGTTACTCGAAATTTGTCTCAAGTGACATACTCAGATTTAAATCTAAAGTCAGATCTAATTTTTTTTCATTGAATCGTACAACGTATGCAACATATTTGCAATCGCAATTCAAGTGACAGACTCGAGTCTAATTTCAAATTCAAATTTGAATATTTCGCTAGAAACAACCCAAGACGAAATTTTAGTTCCATTTTAAGTCTAATTTAATTCTATATTAAGTGCTCAAAGATCTTTTATCGTGCTGTTTTGATACTGCAAATAGGAATTTATTTTTGTTTTCTTTTCTTTGAAGACTTAACGTTGAATTGAAAATTTCGATTCGGGAAATTCCAAATAACGTCTATTAATATGGGTCTACCGAATTTGGATATCCCGAGTTGAAACTTTGGTCCCATGTTAAACTTTAAATTCTACAATATAGTGGAAGTTAAGATAGTAAAATAGGTTCAACTTCAATTTCAATAATATAATTTACTCCTACTTTACCTGACGATATTTTGAGTTTCCGTTTTCGATATTTTAGCATCAAAATAGATTGTTCAAGATAATGTCGAAATTAAATTTGTCGAATTAAAGGTTCATAAAAGAAAAGTTAACAAATATTAGAGTAGATTTTTTATTTTTAGCCTACGAGGCGTCTGAATAGACGCAAACTATCTTTAAGAGCGTCAAAGTAGCATTAACATTTCTACTCGGGATTATCCAATAATAGTCGAAAATACATCTCCGTCGTTGCGGAAACCTTAGCCGCCACCATCCGACGGCCGTTTCCGTTACACGTTACATTCATTGCTGCATCGCGGAGTTCTTCTGTCCTATATGTTCTTTTTTTTTAGAACCCAGTGACACGCTATACGAGTAATGGCGCGCATTATCGTACCCGCGATGCATCCGCGCTGCGGTGTATTAGTTTTCCGTTGCGAAACGAACGGGGAATGTATACACAGGTGCGTCGCCTATATATTTTCCAACATTGCCGACCGCGCCCCTCCGCCCGCGTCCTCCGTGGTCCGACACCATTTTTACGCTCACCGCACCGTGAAGTATGAATTTATGCGATAAACGCATAAAAATTCCCCGGCGATCCGCGAGTGTTACGTAACCCGTGACGCGTCGTCGTCGCAAGGTCGATATTATATCGTTGTCGCCGCCTATTTCGCGCGACACTTTATCATAATATATGGCTATTGAGAGAGGGAGGGAAGGAGAGAGAGAGAGATTTCTTTCATCGGATTTATTTATAACGGCAGGTTCAGATCCGTCGACCGTGAACGAGCGGGGCCGCGCGGGTCCCACCTGCGATCGGCAACCTGTGACTTCGCGTGACGGCGAACTGTTAATCTCAGCTATCGCCGGATAATCGGATTCGAATGAATCCTGCTGCGTATATCATTCTATAAACAATGCCGATGAATATTTAATGGTGGCTACCCGGAGCTGGTCGGCACTCGTCATGCAAATGCGCGCGGCCGCAGCACCGTCCGTGCGTAACGTGACTGACGCGCGACCAAGTCGGCGCGATTTTCCGTCAAATCGATTGGCAACGCGTCCCCGCAGTTTCCGTCGTTCCGGATTCGCTGGCTGAAATCGTCGAGCAATTAAAACCGGCCCTGACAAACCCGCGGTCCGCCGGATGATTTTTATATTATTGACTATACGCGGATAGATGCGCAGTGATTCAATTATTTTCCACTGACGCTGTCAATAGTATAAAAACGCGTAACGCGACGGACGCGCGATCAAGTGGCCGCGATTTACCGTCAAATCGATTCGTAACGCGTCGCCGCATTTTCCGTCGGATTCGTTCGCCGAAATCGTCGAGCAATTAATACAGATGCTGACGAACTCGCGGCCCGTCACGTTATTTTTTGCAGTCTGCTAGATGATTTTTATACTATCAACGGTTTAGGCAAAAAGATGCAGTGATCCAATTATTCCCTTCTGATATTGTTAATAGAGAGAGAGAGAGAGAGAGAGAGACTACATTGAGAGTACATTGGAAGAAAATTCCAGAATCAAGTAAACGTAATTATCTGATTTTCAATAAAATTTGTATCAATTTAAGTATATTTTAGTTAAACCTCAATTAAAAGTTAATTAAAGGTTAGTAAAGTTTACCTAGTCAATCGATGATTCATCGGATTATTTTTTGCAGCTAGCCTGCTGATGTTTACGCTACTAACTATAGATGTAGTTAATGGTTCGATGATTTCCGATTGATACAATCAGTGGCATAAAAAACTGATCCGGCAGACCGTGAATTGACCAGACGTGATTTAAGAGATTTCCAGAGTCGAAATTTTGGTCTTACATTAAACTTTTAATTCTGCGATAGAAGCCAAGGTAGCAAAGTGGGGCCTCACAATTTCAATTCTAATAATATAATTTATTATATATAATTTATTTCTACTTTCACCCTGATGTTGTCTTAAATTTCTATTTTCGTTGTCGTTAACGGGCAAATTAAGGTCGTTAAAAGTAGTGTTGAAATAAAATCTGCAGAATTAAAGGTTCAGAAGAGATATTAACAAGTGTCAGCATCGTCAAAGTAGATTTTTATTCGTCTACAGGCCACTTAACATAAGTAGGCGCGAATTCTTCTGAAAAACATGGAAGTAGCATCAATATTTCGACTCGGGTTTTCGAGTGACGAGCAGTCGTCGTTCCGAAGGAATCAAAAGAGGCACGCCCAGGGAGGAACGTCGCGCGCACGCGCAAACATCGTTAATCAAATCTCACCGCGGGACATAAATAATCCGATTCGCTTGACAAAGTATTTAGCAAAACGCCGTCGTTATACGCGCCGGGCCGGACATATTAATATGAAGCTAGCGTTTGTATTTATATTCATATAGAAAGGCTCTCCCCGGTGGCAGCGGCCATACCTCACCGCGCTTCAACGTTTTTCCCACCGAAACGTCAGGTCTGACGAATTTAGCGCGCACGTTCGCGACATTTCCCCCCCCCCCCCCNCCCCCGACTCTCCCGATTTTTCTCGCTCCACGACCCGGCGCCGTAGATCTCCTTCTCCGGTTTACGGTTACGGTGCATTTGCGCCGACAACAACACGCTCGACGAATGCAGACGCGTTACGACACGTTGCAGGTTCGAGGACGATCTGTCCACGTGCACCAGCTACGATGACGGGGACGCGGACGACCCGAGCGATTACCGGCAGCCCAGGAGGCCGCATTGGGCGAACAAGGTGCAATTCGTGCTGGCTTGCATCGGCTACTCCGTCGGCCTCGGCAACGTCTGGAGATTTCCCTATTTGTGCTACAAGAGCGGCGGCGGTGAGTCTCCCGCGTTAATCCGCATTAAACGCGCAATAAATCGCGCGCGATTGTGAATCTCTCGCGATATCCGATTCCGCCGTCGAGTGTGGAAAAAGATCCCTTCCTTCTTAGTAAGATAGACGTAGATAGATAGATATAGATTCAGCCAATAGTCATTCTATCTTTATTGTTCATTACATGCTAAAGAAAGATAGAATCTAGCTTCTAACGCTGTAAACGTGAATCGGATCGCAGTTTATATTTGCACTCTATATAGATAAATAGATAGAGAAAGAAAAAGGAAGAGGGAGAGAGGAGGAAGACACACATATACACAGAGAGAGAGAGAGAGAAAGAGAAAGAGCTTTTAGTAGACAGTTCCGGGAGGGAGGGAGAGAGGGAGCGAGAAGAGAAGGAGGAACGAGAGATGTCGCGCAGCTGTTGGTCGCAGATACACGGTCAAAATAAACTCGCGAGTGCCAAGTAAGCAAACAACGACGTCGTGTCGGGACGTGTCGGCACGATTAGCATAACTGTGATAAGAGATATTTCGCGGTTATTTCGCGTGTCGTCGGTGTGAAGTACGTCAGCGGCGAAATAGCTGACAGAGCGACAATCTGAACGTCCTTTTCTCGGGCACTTTGCGGACTTCGAGCATGTCAGCCGGCAGCTCGAAGCGACTCGAACCGAGAAAACGGTCGTTTTTCCTCGAGGGAAATTCCCTCCTCTCCCTCTCGTGTATCTTTTTCCAAATTTTCAGGTTTTTTCACATCGTGCATGAAAAAAAAAAATTCTATTAGTGTGACTGAATTTGCCGTTGCCTGAGAACGGGACGAACACTCGATTGCAGGAACAGGAAAATTTCTGTTCAGTCCATTGCTCTCACAGTTGTCTCGATCGAGTTTTAATGCAGCTGAATGCTCACACAAGTGTTCTCAGACGCGGTAGACAGAGATATCATTTCTCGTCATTGAACTTTCATCTGGTTCCTATTCACTTGCAGCAACTGAGATCTCTTTTTCACGTTGTAAAAAAAACAATTCCGCCGATGAAACTGGATTCCTCACCGCCTGGAAACTAAGACGGAAACTTGGTTGTAAGAACAGAAAAATTCTTGGAGAACAGAAAAATTTCTCCTCAGTTAATTACTCTCAGTTGTCTCAACTGAGTTTTAATGCAGCTGAATGTTCGCACAAATGTTCTCACTCACTGTAACAGAGATATCATTTCTTGTCACTGAGCTTTTATCTGGTTCCTTTTCAGTTGCAAGAACTGAGATCTCCTTTCCGCGTGAGAAAAACAATTTCGTTGATACAATGAATTTCCCGTTGCCTTTAGACCAGACGGGAACCTAGTCGTGAGAACAGAAAAATCCCTATAGAAGATTTCTGCTCAGTCAATTATTCTCAGTGGTCTCGACTGGATTTTAATGCAGCTGAATGTTCATCCGGAAGTTTTCAGCCGCTGTAACATAAACACAAACTTCTTGCCATCGAGATTTCCATTCTTGTCACCGAGTTTTCATCCGGTCCGTATTCAGTTGCAGGAACTGAGTTTTCGTTTCCGTGCGTGTAACGTTTATACTATTAAACACGGTTGCGACCGGTTGGTCAGTTCCAACAAAGACTATGATTATTGAATAAAAAACGGCCCGCGGACGAGGGCGAGATTATACGCTGCCACGGAAGAGAGAATTGAGACGGAGCTCGCGAAGACGACGTGACATCTTTCTCGCGGAAACCTGGCCGTCAGATTCAGGGCAAGGGCAACTTGTCACTCCCGTTCTCTCGCAATCCCTGCAACATAAACGGGTGTCATGTTGCACGGCAATTTTCAAAGTCTGCAAGCATCCGGCGCCCGGATGCGTGGCGCAATTCGCTCGCGGAACTTGATACATGACCTTGCCGGAACACGGCTACTCCGCCGGACAGCGTAAATGATTTCAATGACACCGGTGGAAATAATCGGCCGAGAGAGCATCACATCTCGGCGCACTGCCGGTCTAAATTGAAGAGCCGGAAGACCGGCTGGCGGGTAACGCGATCTGATTTACACCATTGAAACGATTCGCTCGGGTTTCGCTCGACGCTGACGCGCGCGCACGTCGATCCCGATGTCTGGGGATCAGGGAGGATCGACGTGGGGAAACCGCAGGATCCTTCAGCGGGAATCTGAAATTACGACGATAAGAAGTCCCGGACGCGCGACATTCTCGATTACACGTCGAGTAATTCCGAGCGTTCCGATCCTAATTCCCGTTGCCCGTGCGTGACTCCGTAAAACGCGGCTGAAACGCACCTGGACGCGGTCAGCCGGCCAACGAGATGAATCTCTGGATCCTCAAAGAAGCAAATTAATGAAATTCCAAGTATTCGCGATCGTTATTTTCATTTGCGAGAAATTTGCAAAGCCGACGGGAGCTTTATTTGATTGCAACTCTCCACGCGCGCTTGCAACCGGCTAGAAACAACTCCGTGTAATTTCAACTATCCGCGCGTGCACGCGCGAATTATATTCGTTGTGCAAACAAGGCACACACACACACACACTCATACACACACACACACATATACACGCACATATGCGCAACGACACAGCAGACGGAACTACGCACGTAAAAATACACCGCATATGTGATTTCGCGAAATCACATATTAAACGGGAGAAGACCGGAAAATCAGAGGAAATAATATGGCTCTGCACTGCGCTCGGTCGCACGCGAGACGCGCGCGCGCAGCCCGATATATTCATTGCGAGCAGCGGCAATAAATTGCATTTACGTGAGAAAGACGACATTGTCGCAAATGGCCGCGACAACATTAATGGAAATACGCGTCATTATGCGCCTTGTATCGACGAGCATTGGATTTTCGCCAGAAATTAAATCGCCCGCAATCCCTCCCCCCCNTCGGCATCCTCGTTTAATATCTCGCGATAATTTATTTGGCGTACGATCGCGTATATTATTTGTATTCGGCCGGACTAAATGAAAACTGCCATCCGCGCGGCGCGCCCGTCGACCGGCTGGATTGAAGCCGACGGAGAAAACATATCGGATAACGTCGTCTGATTTATGCGAGCGACGCGATATACCGTTCCGCCGGGTGGGATTAATTTACATCTCTTTCCGAGGTGCGAAACGCATCATACGCGGGCGACTGTGCGATCGCACGGACGCATCGAGCGAGATCTGTTTGGTACCCGCGAAAAAATCACCGTCGCGACCAACGCGCTGTACAGTTGCCACCGCAAGAATAATATTATTGCTAACGAGAAATACGATTAAAAAAAGAAAAACTATCGTTGCTAATGAAATATATGATCGCGTTAGTAAGAGAATACTATCGTTATTGACGACAAATATGATCGGGTTAATAAGAGAATAATATTATTTTTTACGAGAAATACGATAGTATTAGTAAAAGAATAATATCGTTACGAACGAGAAGTACATATTGCAGTAATGAAAAGATACTATCGTCGTTAATGAGAGGTGCGATCGTATTAGTAAGATAATGCTGTTATTACGAGCGACAAATATAATTGCGTTAGTGAGAAAAATAATATTGTTTTCTACAAGGCATACGATTGCATTGGTGAAAGAATAATATCGTCGCACTAATGTGTGAGAATTACGATTGCAGTAATAAAAGAATATTGTCGTTTGTTAATGAGAAATACGATTACGTTAATAAGAGAACGTTATCGTTGCTAATGAGATATACAATTGTGTTGGCAAGATAACATTGCCGTTACTGATAAAAAATACCATTAAATTAGTAACGATAATTAACGTAGAGACGCGGGCATTCGGGAATTCGTGGAAAACTCGTCGGAAGGCACGAAACAATCGTCACCTGTCCTTGTGGCTAAATGCTCGATGTCGAATTAAGTCGTAATCCGCGCCGCTACCATCGTCGTTTATTGCGAATAAAGAGTTACATCCAGTGAGTGACCTTGCTAACTGCCCACAGTATGATTAACGTCGAGTACTATTGCGTCGAGTACGAACCGTGTTTAACGAAACGTTTGACAAACTCCGTGCGCCGGACTAATGCTCCTTGCACTTACGCGGTCATCGCCGGCGTTCCTGCGGAACAGAAACGGCGAATTACGTATGCTGAATCGGACACTCCTCCATATGTTTACCCTGCGATCCCATCCTGTTTCAGGTGTGTTCCTCGTGCCTTACTTTTTGATACTCATAGTATGTGGAGTACCATTGCTGTACATGGAGCTCAGCATCGGACAGTTCACTCGTCGCGGCCCGATCGGCGCGCTGGGTCAAGTGTGCCCGTTGTTGAAAGGTAAACGAATAAGTCGTCGAATGATGAATTGCCGATAAAATCTGACGGCGGACGACTAGATACGACGGTCGGTTTTCGCGCGCGCTTATTTCTGTAATATACTGTGAAGCGTGCGCGAAAACGCGTTAAGGAAGAGAGAAAGACACATACGATTATTATATATTTTTAACATATAAAATAAAATATATCAACATATTCATATGAAAATAATAATTTTATCTTAATATCACTTAGTGCGACCTTTCATTAATTAATTTTTAATTAAAGTTTCAGATATCTGAATACAATATTCTGCTAAATTATAACAATATCGAGATATTCTATATGGAGAAAAAGATTTCTTTGGATTTAATAAAATTTCTTTAGCTGAAACAAATTTGTCTCTTGGAATGGAGCAAACAAACGAATGTTTGACTTAACAAACGGAATTGTTTGGCTTTTCAAACAATAAATACCTTTATGTCATATAATACATATTTCTTTTGCATTTTCATCCAAATATTACATTGGTTGTCACAAACAATAAATTTATTTTAATAATTTAATTTAATAATTTGAAAGAAATAGCACTATGTTAAAAAATATTAAAGAATTTCTTTTTGTTTCAGTGGAATGATATTTAATATGTAATGAAATAAATTTTTTTTTACCGAAAACCAAATATTATTTCCTCTAAATAATACTGTTTTTTCTATCAAACAACATGGTTTACTCTAGTGAAGCAACATTCAAATAAAATAATATTTGATTATGATGTTAAATTATGTTATTTATATTAAACAAACTCAAATGAAACAAGCACGTACATACGTACACTAAAGAAACTTGTTTCTCCATGCACATGTCTCAATTTGCTTTATTTATAATTATAAAAAGTAACTGAAATTAGTTTTTTTCTTTTCAAATATGAGAAATTGGGAGAATTCTCGATTGTACTCGTGATCTTTCTTTCGGGCCGTATGTTACGAGTTATGCGCGTATTATGTTAGCGCGCGTCCAACGTTTTCGCCTTTACAGGAGCTGGCTTATCGTCGGTCGTGATATCGTTTCTGTTGTCAACTTACCACAATGTGATAATAGCCTATGCAATTTATTACTTCTTTGCGGCATTCCGTGCGGAGCAGCCGTGGTCGCGTTGCGACAACTCATGGAATTCGCCGCGCTGTTGGCTGCCCAGTTATGGATCGATCGATAATCGGACTAGACCGAATTCGACGAGGACACCGTCCGAGGAATTCTTCGAGTAAATTACTCCTTTATCATAACTCCCCAACATGTACAAATTATCATTGTAATATCGTATATAGAGTTGCATATTTGTTTTCTAATATGATACGAAAACCTCTGACTTGTACATTGTGAGCTGAAGCTTCCGTAAAACGTGCGAAGGCAGTCTTGGAAAACTAGTTAAATATACTTTTCCTCTTTTTCTTATTCAGCAAAAAAGTCTTGCAAATTAGTAACGGAATCGAAGAGCCTGGGGCTCTGAGATGGGAACTCGTGGCGTGCTTGATTACTGCGTGGATCATGGTATACTTCTCTATTTGGAAGTCGATCAAGTCGTCGGCGCAAGTGAGATATCTCACAGCGACTCTCCCCTTCCTCCTAATCGTCGTCTTCCTCACACGTTCTCTCACGCTGGAAGGTGCCGAGAAAGGTTTGCAGTTTTTCTTTCATCCAAACTGGGAACTGCTGAAAGACGCTAAGGTACTGCGAAACAACCAATTCTCCGTGTAGTAAAAAGAAGAATAAAAATGAAATATTAAATCTCAATGCACGTGAAAATTAAAAAATTTCAATTTTGTAATTCAATAAAAATAACGAAGGCTTCTCTTGCGATAACGGGACCCGATTCGAAATGTTGGCTCTTTGTTAAATTTAATTCATTTAATTCTATGTTTAATTCTACAAGTGGATACAAATGGAGCTAATATAGCAAAATAAGAATTTAACTTCAATATTCTAGTAATATATTCTAATAATATAATTTATTCTTACTTTGATTTTGATGATGTCTTAAATTTCGCTGTTTCGGCATCAAAATAAGTTGTTCAAAATATCATTGAAGTGAAATCTGTAGAATTAAAAGTTCAAGAGAGAAATTAATAAATGTCAATATTAGGTTTTTATTAGTCTATAGGCCATCTAAGTAAACGCAAATCCTGAAGAGCGTCAAAATAGTATAAAAATTTCGACTCGGGCACGCGATCAGCAATCACGCGCTTCGTATTAATTGTAATTTCGACAAATCATCATTAGGTCTGGATAAATGCCGCGGCGCAGGTCTTTAATTCCGTGGGTATCGCCTTCGGTTCGATGATATGCTTCGCCAGTTACAACAGATTCCACAACACGATTCTGGTGGACACCGTCGCCGTGTCGCTCATAAACGCCTTCAGCAGCCTCTTGGTCGGGATATTCTCGTTCGCCACGATCGGCAATATAGCGTCGGAACAGAATACGTCCGTTGAAGATGTCCTGACTGACGGTACGCGTGGCGATAGATACGAGAAATGTGCGCGTTTCGAGAGGAAAAATGATTGAAAATTATACATCTTATCGCACATTACTCGTTACTTCGTGTGTAATCTTGCGTTCCGATACTCGCAAACGTCGTTCGAATCGACGATTCTCGCGAGACGGTTGCTTTTACGTTTATCAATTTTTTCCTAACATTCTTCTCCTCACTGTTCCGCATCGTCAGTTTAACTTTCGGCCCTGACATTTTATAGATAAATCATAATTTCCGTTCAAGGACCTGGGCTGGTCTTCGTGATCTATCCGCAAGCGTTAGCCAAGATGCCGGCTTCGCAGCTTTGGGCTGTGCTATTCTTCTTCATGCTGGTTTGTCTTTCGCTCAACAGTCAAGTAAGTATGTGCAACATGGATGCAATGGGGTAGAGCACACACGCCTTTTGCAACTTACGACCCGAGTGCGCGCGATTACAAACCAATGAACAAATAAACGCGATAGAGTTGCGGAATTTCGCCGTCACGGAAAGGAAAGAGAGATAGAGAAAGAGAGAGAGAGAGAGAGAGAGCGCAACGTATTTTAGTCGCATGTGTAGAACAAAAATAAATTCAAGAATAAAGATCGGACGCAATTGTTGCGCAATTCACCCATGCAAATCGCGGATGCAAAGCGCGTTTTCACGAACTTTCTACTCCGGAGATCGCAACAGACCCGTTTTGCAATATTTTCACGTCGGTTGCGCAAACTTCTTCGGATTTCAGTTCGCCGTGGTGGAGGTAGTCGTCACGTCGATCCAGGACGGCTTCCCCAATTGGGTGAAGCGTCATCTTCTCTGTCACGAGATACTGGTCCTGCTTATATGCGTCGTCTCGTTCTTGTTCGGGTTGCCGAATATCACACAGGTAGAATTAGAGATTCGATGTTTATGTATTTATACGTTTCGCAACCGGTATTCGTTCACCACTACTAAGTGACACCTCGTGACTGCCTCAGGGTGGTATTTACTTTTTCCAACTGATAGATCACTATGCCGCGTCCATGTCCATCATGTTCTTGGCATTCTTCGAGATAATCGCCATCTCGTGGCTCTACGGCGTGCGCCGGCTGTGCAACAACGTCAAAGAGATGACCGGCCGCCTGCCCTCGGTGTACTTTCGCTTTTGTTGGTTTATCGCCGCACCTCTCCTCATAATGGTGAGCATTCCTCAGAATCGTATCGGCAAATTTCGTCATGTTAAGATAAACTGTGCCTTTGTAAAATTACCGTCGGATTCAAAGTGACGATTATGCTTACAGTAGAATTACGGTAAAATGGTAATTTATTGGTAATTTTGGTAAGATTTGTTGTTCTTGATAATTTCATATACAAATAGACCGGTCTCGGTAGTCATCTGTAGTGATCGATAATGTGATGTACTTCGTTTGATTAAATTACTTAAGAGATATAATTAATTACATCTGTGAAAAACTGCCCGTACAGCCAACAGGGAGGTAATGAAACGAGGTAAAAGACATGTTTATAATTACGTTTTAAATTACACACATTCCTTGCAATTATATTTCTCTCAATTACCGTGTCTTGGATAATTCGATATATAATTCGATCATCAGTCAAGTTTTTATGCTGTATGATGATTCATGTGTAATTGATTTATTTCGTACCGTGTAATCAACACGGCAGTTAATCTCAATCTCACTGCTCATTGCGTATCATTTACGATGCGGTCAGTGATCTTGAAGAGAGCGGGGCGCATCTTCATAATTTCCGTCTCCTTCTCCAGGCCGTATGGGTGTTTAGCTTAATTGATTATGAGCCACCAACCTACCATAATGGCGACTACATTTACCCATGGTGGGCAGAGGCGATCGGATGGGGCATCGCGTCTCTCTCCTTAATTTGCATTCCCGCTTTTGCCGTTTGCGTACTCGTCAGAGCGGATGGCGTCACGTTTGCCGAGGTACGTTAAATTTCGTTGACATTGGTCGGATTTCTAGCATCGCCACTGGTCGGGCCGTTGGTTTGACCTACTTATTTATTTACCTGCTCTGACTCTCATATATATTTATTAGATATAGCATTTTATTATGAGAAAAAATACATATATAATCTCTGTGTTGTACGATTTTTTTTTTTTTGTAAACCGTCAATGGTAGGAAAAATATTAGTACGATATGTAGAATATTTTTTAAGACAGATATGTAGAATATTTTATACGATTGACATAAAATGTAATTTCTCGCCTTTCACATTTCCTTTTCGTGATATGTATTTTTATGAGCCAATAGATAATATCGTAATTGTCGTCGGAATAAATGAAAAGGAAATTTCGTTTTCTCGCAGAAACTCAAGAATTCCATAAAACCGCATTTTGAGGCGTGCAAGGTGTGCGGGCAAGAATATTGCGTGGAGCCGATGCACAATCTGGAGGAGAACGTACAAAAGGAACCCCAAGTTGACATGAACACTTCCATACCATTGAATTCGCACTACCTGCTGAAGCCTCAGATGTGACTTTATACGGTTATACTTAATCGTAACCCAGGCGAGTCGAGATTTAACAAGAAGAAAGGAAAAATGAATTAAAAACAAGAACACGTACCTTATATCGTCAGTCATCACAACAGCTGTCGCGAGACGATCAACATTCCATTATTTATAGCTCCTTACAAATACGATAATTAGCCGCGAGAGTCATTAATGTAAGAAAGTATCCGTTACGCTAATGTTATTACTTCCCGCAAAGTAATAATCTTAATATTCTTTACGCCATCATCGTGTGATAGATCATAGACAAGCACTGATTCGAAGTAGGATTACATTGTTGACAGTACATTTAATAAATTATTATGTATCCAAGAAAAAAATGTGTTTGTGCGTTTCCTTTCCCATCTCGTATATTTTGCTTTCTTATCGCGCAAAATTATCTCAATTTCCTAAGGTTAAATTTTCCAAATGAAATGGTAAAAAATTCTGAAATTTCTATATAATGTTTCCATATTAGTCCTTAATATCACAGTAGTTTTTTTTATAAAAATTCCGTTTGAGAGGAAATTAAAAACAGAAGATAAAAATGGAACATGGGACACATATAAAAAGTGTCACATCTTCACTTGCGAATATTTCGATTTCCGAACGGTCAGCCGTTTTCTAACTTGACAGGCATGTAGATATTTCCATCGATATGCAACTGAGATTTCCAAGGATCCTTAAGAAAATGATTTGACGGGCCAACTATTGGACTATTTTAACGAAACGATGTAACGATTGGTATCATGCTGCGCATATGCCGCGATCGTTTTTCTCCCGTGATGACAATCGTCGCTCGCGTATGGCTTTGCGCGCGTGTTCGGCTATTGGGCAATCGCATAATACGGCGACCGTAACGTTCGTGGTTTCGCCGTGGCACGCGCTTACGTAAGTGCGGAATCTCGTCCGCGGCGGTTACGCGACGGGTTTCGATCGTTATTGAATCCTCATGCGGCAAATTAGATATAACTAATTGCATTATGCGTCGCCGGTGCCACAAGTTCCGCCGCGGTGGCGTCCGTTCACTCGAGCACCCGGCAGGCTCAAGTTCACGTCGAGTTCGAGTTATCCCGACGGAGCGTTCCGCTTAAAGTTGCCATACCATGACAAAGAAGTTCGAATTTAATTGGCGCATAGAAGTGCCGGAGCTGTTGAGAAAGGGCTCGGTATTCGATCGATGGTTAGAGGACAAAGAGACGACCGAGTACGAGCCGAACTGTCTGTTCAAAGTTGACGAGTATGGATTTTTCATCTATTGGAAAAGCGACGGCAAGGTAGCCCAACAGTGGCTCCTCCCTGTATCTCCCGTTGCTCTTGAACCGAATAAATAACAGCTGGCCCGCTGTTATTTCTCGTCGCGCTCAAATAACACTCGCAATGTTTTTTTCCGTAGGACGGGGAAGTCATAGAATTGGCTCAAGTGAGCGACATTCGCTACGGCGGCACGCCGAAGGTAAATCTCGTACCGAAGGAATCGCAGGAATTGAGAATAGGAAAAATATTAAATCTTGATAGAAATAAGACCACTGACTCTTGCGGGAGTGACGCCGATATAATTGATCGGTCTATTTAGGATCCAAAGTTATGCAACAAGCTGAGCAAATACGGAACGTTAGAACAGCTGGATGAAAAGAGCCTAACTGTATGCTCTGGGGTGGACTATACGAATATCAACTATCAGCATATTATATGTACGGATGCGCAGGTGGCTAAGGTATATAATAAACGAGATATCGAGAGAAATCGATTGAAACGATGTAAATATAAATACTCGTGTTAAAATCGATTCTTATCATGATTTTTGTATTCAATTTTTAACGTATCCGTGTGTTGATTGAAACGATGTAAATATAAATACTCGAGTTAAAATCGATCCTTATTATGATTTTTGTGTTCAATTTTTAACGTATCCGTGTGTTGATTTAACATATCGTGTTTATTTTATCTCAATGTTTTATATTGAGTCTTGATATTCAACATGTGTAAGAGTTAAAATAACACATTTTATATTTCATTGTCGATTGACATATTATTGATGTTAATTTTATTGAATATTATTAGTGACGTATTTTGTACGTTAAAATTTATAGCCAAGTTGTGTTATTACTCTTAGTATAAACAGTATATGACAACTATCGTAATCTTAGAACTTAAATAATACGAAATAGATGTATAGCTAGACCGTAAAAGTAGTGTGGTATGTAAAGTAGGCGACTTAAGATACCGAGTTTTCGAATTTTCTCAGTAATAAGCATGTTTTTTCGGGCAAAATCATTGACTACATTCTAAGAATAACGTGATGAAAAAGAAGTGATGAATAACATTTTTTATAGTTTGAAAGTAACACGTAATAAATATGTCAGTTTAACATATATAACAGTTATATGTTTCGTGTTAATTTTTGACATAATATTTGTGTTACTTTTCAACATATTCACTTCGTATTAAATTAACACAAAAATTTGGGTGGACCGTTTGGGACATGTGAAATGTATTAAATTTAACGCAACATTTTTTAACGTGTAGGAAATCTTTAAAAATATCATTTAGTTAATCACATACACACCGGAGTTTTTCTAACCAAGAATCAGATTATTCGCATTTGATATTTTGCGTAATTACACACATACTCACACTACACCTATTCTATTAGACTACTTGTTTTATTTCAATTAGTTATCTTTGCTTTATTTAATTATGCTCATTCTAATCCTACACACGTTGCATTTTATCGTTAATATAATTAAAGTTTATCTTTTCTATTTAGCTCTTCTTTATTTCTGTTCTCACGCATAATCCGGTTAATCAACTCAGGATTGGCAGGCGGCCTTGCGTTTAATTACGCACAACACAAAAGCTTGCAACGTCTGTCCAACCACGCAGCTTATGAAGCAGTACGTACTCATTAGTCCGAATCCCATGTAGTAGCTCCGCAAAAAGAGAAATATATGACAGATATGTTTCTCCGAACGAATGCTAACGCTCTCCATTTCTTTCCTTTGATCATTAAATGAAAATTTAAATGAAAATTTCGACGCTTATTAAATTTGCCAGTTGGATGCGGCTAAGTTTTCAAGTAGACTCTAAGGGTAAGGTTCCCGTGAAAGTGATATCAAAGACTTTTGCCTCGGGCAAAACCGAAAAACTTGTTTATCAGGGCCTGTCGGAACTGGGTTTGCCCAGTGGAAAGGTGAGTTGAATACAGGAAATTAAAAAAAAAATCTTAATTGATGTGCGGACAACAAAGAGTTCACTAAAGAAAATTATTAAATTATCACTGGCGCGACCAGTAATTTGTATAAGTTATAAGTTGATAACTTAACTAGTTCAAAATTTCGAATTTGAAAGCACGAGTTTGACATATATCTGCGAAGTCACATTGCAACAAATTGGCAAAAGTATGCGGACGACACTTTCTGCGAAAACTCAGTCCCTTTCGTATTTTAGAACGATAAAATAGAGCCGGAGGCTTTCACTTTCGACAAGTTTTACGCCTTGTACTTCAAGATCTGCCCGAGGAACGATATCGAGGAACTTTTCCAATCGATGTGAGTACTCGACGGGATTCTACCGTAGAAGGTGACTTCTAATTCCAAATGTTATCGAGCTAAGCATCCGTTATTGCCTCGTTTTACAGTACGAAGGGAAAATCCGACGCTATAAGCTTGCTGCAATTGGTGGAATTTATGAATACAAAACAGAGGGATCCGCGACTCAACGAGATTCTCTATCCTCTATACGACGAGAAGAGATGCGTGGAAATCATAAACGACTACGAAACGGACGCGAAAGCGAAAGAGGAAAGTGAGCATCCGCAAAATATGATTTAATTTCATCATCTCCCTTCGCATTTCGCACATGTGATACGTCCTCTTTTTTCATTTTTATTTCAAATTTATTTTACATACATGAAGGATGAAGTATAATAACTCTATTACTATATTCAATATCTTAAAAATGAGAGTAGGAGGAAAATTGATCCAATAAAAATTGCATTGTAATACTAATGGTCATAACTTCGAACGCCTTCTGGAAACGTAAACTTTTCTCATATTCTCGTTCTTTAATAAAAGTTTTTAATAAAATATTTTTATTTCTTAGAGATATTCAAGATGATAATAGTTATTATTATATTACTGTTATATTATTTTATATCATTTCCCATTTATCGTGAACACGTAGAGAAGTTGACGAAGGACGGTTTCATACGATACTTGATGTCGGACGAGAACGCGCCGATGTTCCTGGAGAAACTGGAAGAGTGGATGGAAATGGACCAGCCGCTTTCGCATTATTACATCAATTCCAGCCACAACACTTATCTTAGCGGCCGTCAGATCGGTGGTAAAAGCACCGTCGAGATGTACCGACAAGTTCTGCTCGCCGGTTGCAGGTGATGCAATTTTCCTCAATCGTCGTAACGACATCGAGACGTTGCGGCTCAACCTGAGGCGATAATGTCGAGAAATAAACCCAGGAGAATGACAGAACAATATTTCAACCGCAGATGCGTCGAGCTGGACTGCTGGGACGGTAAAGGCGAGGACGAGGAACCCATCATTACCCACGGCAAGGCCATGTGCACCGACATTATCTTCAAGGACGTGATCTACGCGTTGAGAGACACCGCATTTGTCACCTCCGACTATCCTATAATCTTAAGTTTCGAGAATCACTGTTGTCTGAAGCAACAATACAAACTGGCCAAGTATTGCGACGAGATATTGGGCGACCTGTTGCTGAAGGAGCCGCTGAAAGATTATCCCGTGAGTAATTTTCTCGGCAATTGTCGCATCTGACGAACGCGATCGACTAATTGATATCAATCGCGCGAGATCAATGCGTTTATATTCAAGCTCGAACCGGGGTGTCCCCTTCCACCGCCGAACGCGCTGAAACGCAAGATATTAATCAAGAATAAGCGACTGAAGCCGGAAGTGGAGAAGGCCGAGCTCGAGCTCTTCCGTGCCGGACAGTTCGAGGTCAAGGACGAGGTCGTGGAGGATGCCAGCGCACCTGCAGCTGCCGCGCCTCCCTCTGAGCCGCCGAAGGTGATCGATTGCGTCAACGAGTTCGCTGGAGGACAAAATTTAAATCCGACTTTTCCAATTTCCTTTTTATACCGAAGAATTTCTGGGATTATCTTTGACATGTTTTCCACTGCGTAGGAAAGCGAGGCTCCCGCCGAGGAAGGAGCCGAAGAGGTGCAAGCGGTTCAATACACAGGCAGCACCATGCAGGTTCATCCTTGGCTCTCGTCGATGATAAACTACGCGCAACCAATAAAGTTTCAGAGCTTTGAGACCGCGGAGAGTACGTATTACATTAATACAATGAAACTTTCCCCGGGCGTTGATGCTAGTTCGCAATGTTTTTTGGTAAACTAGTGTGCTCTCTCGTGATTAAATCGTAACATTGTGAGCCGCAAAGGATTAATTCATTTCGAAGCAAAATATTAGCTTTCAAAATTTTATAAAGTTATACGCAAGCAACAATTTAATATACAGAGGCAATGAATATTACCATCTTGAATATCTTCGACGAATAAAAATATTTTAAAGAAATGTAAGTATGGCTCTAACAGTTGCAGAAACAGGAATATCAATATCTGGCCTTCAAAAGCCCAACCGCTGTTAATAGAACGTAATAACAAATTTGCACTTTCCAAAAACGTTTTGGTCTATTGTGGACCTTTCCTTCAGTTTGATTAAAAAAAGAAATTCACGAGAAGTCCAGAGTCGCAAAATGAAATCTTATCGTAAAAATATTTTATTGACGACTAGAAATAAAAATGAGACAAGAGACTTTACTGAAGATTAAATATTTTAGGTTTCCGCGGTATGGATAAATACTTGATTTGGCTTCGGAGTTAACGCCGCGTCCTTTATGGATTGTTTTCGTACCAGCAAACTCGGAAGCCAAATCAAATATTTATAGAAGACAGGAAAAATTTACAAAACAAAAGAAGATTTGTTAAGAAGATGTTCGAAGCGACAACCAATGATATCACAATGCAATTTCTGTTAGCCCAATTTTTCTCTTACTCTCGTATCTCAATGATATTTAAAATAGTAACATAATTGTCTCATTCTTTATAATACATAAATAGAGCGCAAAACAACATAAAAATTCACGCAGAATGTGCATATACACACATAAAATAATCAGTACTGTTTTTCGTATCTGCTTTCACGCGGAAGAGTGTACTCTGAATTAACACAAATAATTGAAATAGCGGGTGGTAATGCGCGCGCTTTGTATGCACGTATGTGTATGTGTGTGTGTGTGTGTCCTACGGACTTAAGAAGGGTGAAATGAATGAGCGTACACGTGCGCGCGAGTCGCACGCGCGACATGTACTAATGTCTCAACCCCGACGTTGCAGGCAAGAATATACATCATAATATGTCTTCGTTCTCCGAGACTGCCGCTCTTAACTATCTGAAAACTCACTCCGTGGAGTTCGTTAATTACAACAAGCGGCAAATGAGTCGAATATATCCAAAGGGCACGAGGGCTGATTCGTCGAATTACATGCCCCAGGTAAATCTGCAATAATACAGGGCGCGCTGAAATCCTTCGCTCTCCGAGTTATTACTCACGTATCTCTCTCTTCGTGGATCTAACGATTCGATAGCAGACCATAGCGAAGGTTCTCTTTCCCCTCGGAGATCCTTTGCGATCTCCAATTGCCCGTAACTGTGGGAGAAAACGCGCGACGACTGCCGATGGAGTTGTCGTTCACGCGACGCGATCGCTATCTTCCTATTTGCAGGTCTTCTGGAACGCCGGCTGTCAGATGGTGGCGCTGAATTTCCAAACCCCCGATCTACCGATGCAACTCAATCAGGGGAAATTCGAGTACAACGGCACGACGGGCTACCTGCTGAAGCCCGACTTCATGCGACGGCCGGATCGAAGCTTCGACCCCTTTTCCGAGGACGTCGACGGCATCATCACCGCGCAGTGCGCGGTTCAGGTTATAGCCGGGCAGTTCTTGTCGGACAAAAAGGTCGGCACATACGTGGAGGTGGATATGTACGGTCTACCGGCGGACACGATCAAGAAGGAATTCAGAACACGAATGGTGCCGGCGAACGGTTTGAATCCGGTCTACAATGAGGAGCCATTCTTATTCCGGAAAGTCGTGCTTCCCGATTTGGCGGTGCTACGATTCGGTACCGTGCGACACTTCTTTCTCTTCTTATTCTTCGATATTTTTTTGCCGTAAATTTCCGGTAGATCTCACCTCGCTCGTGAGTAAAATACGTATTCGTGATTATCGAAAGCTCTCTACACTATTCGTAAACGTAATATATCTTTTTCCTTTTAATTGTGCTTTCCGCATTTCGCACACAGGCGTTTACGAAGAGAACGGCAAATTGCTCGGGCAACGAATTTTGCCTTTGGACGGCCTTCAGGCCGGTTATAGGCATATCTCTTTGAAGACCGAGGCGAACTTTCCGATGGCGCTGCCTATGCTCTTCTGCAACATAGAGCTGAAGATTTATGTTCCCGACGGATTTGAAGGTAACGTCTAAGGTCGCCGCTCAAAAATAGCAACGTACTCCGCTTTTCGGCTCTCTCTCTCTCTCTCTCTCTCTCTCTCTCTCTCTCTCTCTCTCTCTCTTTCTTCCTCGCTCAAGCGCACTTCCGATTGTAGATTTTATGGCCGCCTTGTCAGACCCGGGTGGCTTCAGCAAGGCCACCGAGAAGCAGAGCGAAACGATGAAGGGAATGGGAATAGAGCAGACGGATGCTAAAGCGGATGCTAAGAAGAAGAAGGAAGAAGAGGCGAAGAAAGGTAAGAAAGTTATCTGTCGGGTGCAATTGTATTTATTTTTCTTTTCTATTCCCGCAGTCAGTCTTAAGATTGACGTTGAATCATATGATAAGAGAACAACAAAGACATGATCGCATTAGAATATCGTCTGTCCGTGTAATGAATGATTCGAACGATACACAGACTGAGATAATAACTATTACCATCCGGAGAAAAACATTTGGTTGAATTAACGTGAACGAATCAAACGCGTTTTGGCTGAAGGAAGCGGAATTTCCGATTGTGAGAACCAAATTTGGTTCATAAGAAACGGAAATTCTGTTTCCTTTAACCAAAACGCGCTTGGTTCTTTCATTGTCAGATTAATTCAATCAGAACTTCTTCTTCGTATATTTCGAATATCTTCGATGTATAAAAGTAAAAGAAAAATTGATCTAACAGAAGTTTGTACATGGATACAAATGGTCTTCACTTTCAGCACCTTCTGTAAATATAAATATTTTCTCACCTTTATGTAGTCGTTAATAAAATATTTTTCTTCTCCGAAGATATTCAAGCTAATGACAGTTATTATCCTCATTCTGTATATCGTATTGTGACAATGGGCAATTCTTGTCGTGCTATTCCAGCGGAGGAGCTGAAACTGGAGCCGATCACGTTGGACTCGCTGAAGAAGGAGAAAGGTTTCAAGTTGGGCAAGAAGCATCAGAAAGAGTTGGACACCATGAAGAAGAAGCACATGAAAGAGAGGCAAACCATGCAGAAGAATCACTGCAGCGCCATCGACAAGCTGACGAAAGGCAAGGAGTACGTTTTCCCACAGTTCGGCGCGCTGGCCCAACTCCGATTGGAAACTTAGCACTTTTCATGCTTGCAGCAAGAATGCTCTACTGCAAGATGCCAACGTGAAGAAAGTTATAAGCGAGCAAACGGCACAATGGTCTACTATGATGGAAAGGCAGCGGAAGGAAGAGTGGGAATTGCTGAAGAATCAAACGCAGAGCTCGCGCGACGAATTAAAGAGGTTGATCGAGGTAGTGCAAGCCACGCAAGTGAAGCAGATGCAGGCGAAACACGACAAGTTTGTTGAAAGTAACTTTATTCGGACGTAACTTCATTCGGACGTAACTTTATTCGGTTGCGATCCGCCGTTGATCGATCCGCGCGCAACAACGTGAATTACAATTTCCCGTTACATCGCTCACGCGAAATCACATGAACGTTGCAGAGACATTAAAGACATGAATGCCAATCAGGCGAAAGCATCCGTGGAGACAGCCAAGGAGGTGATGAACGACAAGACCTTGAAGACGAAGGGCGACAAGGACCGGCGGCTGCGAGAGAAGAAGCAGCAGAACACCAAGAAGTTCATGGAGGAGAGAAAAACCGTGCAGATCAAGCAGGGTCGCGAGAAGGAGAAGCTCAAGGTCACGCATGAGAACCAAGTCGGGAAGTTGGACAAGGATATCGAGGGGGTGAGTGGAAACGTGCGTTCAACGCTGTTCCGCTCGAAAATCGGCCCCGGTCCTTTTTTCGCGTCGTACGAACAGAAAATTCCAACCGAATGAAAGAGGAGCAACGTTTAATAAGCGATGGAAAATTTTCACAATGAATAAAAATAACGATTAATGATAAAAGAGAAATAAGATGTCCGGGGAAAATATATTGTTTAAATTAACATGATATGGAACGAACCAAACGTGTTTGGTTCGTTCATTGTCACGTTAATTCAACCAGTTAATTTTCTTCATGTATAAATAAAAAGATAAATTACTGTCGCTGGTGGAATCACTCCTGATTTCATGAAGCAACACGCGGGATAATTTTTGATTTTTGATCGTGTTGCAGGGTATCGAGATGTACAAGAACGAGGCGGTCGAATACGACTTGTCGTCCAAGACGGAATTCTATGTGTAACGAACGCAACATTTTTATTAGCGTGCTTTTGATTTGTTAACGCGTAGCTCGTCACCACATTAGATCGGTGCCGAACGACGTTATTGATTGCAACTAAAGTACTTACATTACGAAACTATTCGAACGTGATCGTAAAAGACTACGATTATTATGACTGTTATAAAAAAAAATTGGTTGAATTTATCCGACAAAAAACAAACTAAACGCGTTTTCTTCAACCAAAACCGTAGATTATTATATAAACGCAATCTAAATAATCACTTTTAATATGTAGCCTATTCTTTAACTATACAACTATTATTAGGTATGTGCAAAAGTTTCAGACAGGTTTTAACTTCATTTTTATGTAGTCAAAAGACTACGATATAGTCAAAATTTTTGCACACACACGCACCTAATATTATAATATTATAATTATATGATCTTATATTATAAACTATTGTAACCCACATCGTTAAGTTTAAGAATAACTTTCTCATCACGAGTAGGCGATTTAAATACTAAATATGTTACAAATTGTTTGCACAAGTGCAATGTGTACAATGCATGGAGAGATCCGCAAAAAGGGGCAATCCAATAAACTAATAGACTTTCATAGTTATCGATTTCTGAACAACCGTATCTCACACAAGCTCCTAACACTGGATTGTTGAAACTGCCGATAATTACAAATCCTGAAATAGATTATTTTTGGAAGATTAATAAAACAACACTTTATGTCTATGTATGTGTATGTAAAAAATAGAGAAATCAAAATATCCGCCAACCTGCAGTCCTAAAAATTGTCTCCACGAGAGCTTGCACAGTGGGTATAAATTTCAGTTTTAGATATTCTTTTAAATATGCTATGGTATAAATTGCTAGCCTATGAGTGATAGTCAATAGCCATTCGAAGATAAACGCATGCAGAACAGAATTCTAAAAATTGTCATACTTATCAGGTATACAATAAATAAATCCTATATGTGCGTAAGGTGATAGCTCATCGCTTATAATGTGACATTTAATTATGTAAATTTATATCAAATTTAAAATATAAAACTTATGTTATTGTGAAGTTTTCTAAGTTTCCAATATATAAAATTCGGATCAAGTTGTTTAAATAATTCGGGAAAAATTTTTTCCGAAGAAAAAGGTTAAAAATTTCTTTTGAATGTGCAAACAATGATATAAAAAATTCTGACGATGTTTTTCACCAGGAAACATTCATTCTGTGGAGAATAAATCGTATTCATATTATAAATAACTATTGCTATTACCTTACGAAACATTGTAGAGCAACCTACAGACGACCGTTTGAATTGATGAAAACACTCCCATATTACATGCATAGATTTGAATGCGAGGTAACCGCCGATCATTTCAGCAAATATTATGAGTATACCCATGTAGCGTATGTTCCGCTCTATTAGCATACACTCTAGTATTACGTTAGGGCAAGCTTCTATGCCGCCCCAACGTATTAACCAAACAGTCATTACTATAAAAGTACTGACTGCAAACATCATTGGTCCAATTTCTTGTGCAGCTGAAGAAACAAGTTTAATGCTTCTTAAGAAATAAAATACAAATCAAATCAAATTTCTTGTGACATCAATTCACGTAAAAAGGTTATCAACGTAACAGAAAACACAAGATAGAAGATTTTAATTAAGACACATGTACAATGAATAATTATATTAAATACAATACATAATAAAGTTGACACTTAAGTTACAGAGGATAAAGATATACAACAGGAATTAAAAGAATGTGCAGTGTTTAAATCTCGTTATTATAGAGATACAAATGTAATGATTATTCAAAGTTGATTACACGACGCTGCACGCATTTACAGGGGAATACGTTTATAAGGGAAACATACGATAATAAACGTATACCTGCAGTGATTTCATAATTTATTGCGCATAGTTCCGCCGTGGCTATTATTTCCAAAAGTATATTTTTAATGAGTTCATTACTGCACACACTCTTGATAAGCTTTACCAGGGGAATTGTTATCAATTGCGGTATTATATAAAATTTGCAAGTGTTCATAAATGTTTCTAGATCCATATTCATATTGAAATATGTGCCTTTTAAACAAACAAAATATGCGTTATTAGATTATATGCAGTTTTACAATATATAACAAAAAACATAATTAAATTAATAATTATATTATATATATGAATTATTTCTGTGTAGTAAAAATAATATGTAAGAGAATAAAACTTACGATAATATTAACGTAATCACGCTAGCTATCCTTTTCTTCCATTGGAATATTTCAATGACGCTTCGTTTTCCATCAGAAGATCTTGTTTTCTCTGATGTAAGATTTTACATATCGAGATTATTTGAATTTGGAACGTATATCCAGTGGAAGAATTTGAACGAAATCTAAAAAGGAATTACTGGAAAGATAAAATTACGTAAAAAATATCTGAAACCAGTTTAATTTAACGATACACTTGTACGGAGCCGGAAACTGTCGAGAGCCGGGAGCTGTCGATAAAGATTTTCGTAAGGAACTATATATTTCGAGAATTATGTCACGAATGGTACGTTACTTCTATTATATATTAACCTTATACGCGCGCGCGTTGATCACGTAATATTGTGTTTCGATATTCTCACATATATAACATTTCATACGGTCAATAACATTAGAACATATCTAGTACATAGCTAGTTTCGTATTGGTATTGACAAACAGATATTTCCATTAATATCGATTTCAAAAGAGAAGGCATTTCTGATTTGAGACGAAACGTTCTTAATAACAATCGTACTTTCGTTAAAATCGATAGTTAATACTGATGTATTATTTTAAATAATTGTATATTTCAATATCATTTGTGTGATGTGAAAGAGTAGTTTTTATGCATCACTATTCATAAATAAAACGCTATATTATTGTAAGGTATTTTACATTACCTACATTTACAAAGTTGGGTAACAATTTTATAGAAACTTCATGAGTTTCGAATTTCGTTCAACAAATGTTATATTAAATCTATATCATAGTAAAATTCATATAACATTTATATTATGTATATCGTGTTTTATTTATTTAAAATACATAGTCATATTTGTTGAATACCGAGAAGACTACTAATGATCGGTCGTCAACTTGTCAATGTCGCCGAATAGTAATCACCAGTGACATGCGACGTTCAAATTAATTAAAATACTTGAACATATTCCTACGCTGTACAGTTCATCAATGATGACCATCAACAAGATATAAACGTGTTATATTTGATAATATAGTCTAATTAAAACAAGTTATACAATATTTCATATGCGCTAAATATTAAAAATTTCACACCGACATACATAATAAAGCATTCAGAATTCATTCAGCATTTGATGAGTTCAAACTATGATAATAATTAAATGATTAACAAATATAACAATAACACAACAATAAAACATAGTAAATAAAAATATAAGTAAATGTGTGCGCATATATGTATGTATGCAACACAACATGTATGTATGCAACATGTATATCTGCATATCTGCATATTGTATGTATAAACATATATTTAAATATATATATATATATAAACATATGTATGTATGTATAAGTATATATACTATATATATATGTATATACATGTATTAAATAATATACACTGTACGTAAATAATATAATATAATTACAAAGTGTATATAGATGTCAGTAAAAATAATATTACTATAATTATGTATGCATTTGTAAGAGGCATATTCAACGATAAGAAAAGATTGCTTTATCATTTATTTAACCTAGATTGCACTTAAAATTATTTGTAATAAACATATTACAGTATTATTCTTGTATTTATCACATAGACGCATTTTATATTATGAATTAAATTTGTTTCCGTTATTTAAGAGTGAATCAGAGTAAAGTTCCTATGGATGATATATGACATACGAAGACGATCATTGAGGATGGAGATATATGTTTGCTTTCCATATGTACCGCTTGTACGACGACATAAAAATAATAGATAACTATACGCAACGAAAATTTAAATATATGATATCATTATTATAATGTCAATATTATATAATCTATTATAATTATTTAAACATATAACTGTTATTTCTAATGCAAAAGTAACTTATATCCATCGTCATATATAAAAAAAATGTTGATATAACTAATATCATTATCAATAATAGGCTAAGATAGAAAATATTATAGTTAATATTTGCAAAGAGCGCATGAACATAACGCACAAGTAAAAGATAAACGAAGCGCAAAAAGATCCCCACACAGGGGCAACAACATGAACTAAGAAAGTTTTATAGAAATTAAAGTCTGAACAATTGCGTAATATACAATATCCTAACGCTAGATTGTTGAAACTGCCGGTAACCAAAAATCCTGAAATGTACATTATTTGTGGTGATTTAATAAAATATTATATTTTATATTATAAAAATCAGAACGTCTGCTAACCTGTAGTCCTAAAAATAGTCAGCACAAGAGCTTGTATAAGTAGCAGCAGTAGTCTATTTTGGTATTGTTTAAAATATTCTATGCTATAAATTATTAGCCTACAAGCGATAGTCAATAAACACTCGACAATAAATGTAAATAGAACAGAATCCTAAAAATTGTCATATTTATCAAATGAACAGTAATATAATTTTTAATCATAATATATGTGTAATGTCATTATCCACTGTGTACAATGACTGTGACATGCTAAATTATATAAACATATATTAAAATTAATATAAAAATTTATGTATGCATATGCTGATAAATATATTAAATGTATAAATCACATATGCGTTATTTAGAAAATAATATTATTTTATGATAATTCTCATGAAAACATTTCTTAAAAATGTGATAGAAATTTTTCAGAACATTTCATAATGCGAAATTAAGAAAAAAACTTAAAAAGGCTTACTATGTCTATCTAAGTTTCATAAATTAATTTTAGAGCTTAATTCACAATTAATATATAAGATGTCCCTACATAAGGAGAACACCTAAATATTTCCTTTGTTTTTAATAATATGAGAAATGTTTAAAATACAATGTAAATGGTTTCAAAAGAGGAATACCGTGAAAGAATATTTTTTTTACGGTCATTTTTAAATTTTTTTTAAGGTGTCCATATTTAGGCCACCAAGATATTTAGGTATATGTTTCCTTATGCTGGGACATCCTATATAATATTTCATTAAACAGAACTCATAGTTGTTGTGAACTGAAAATTCTATCCAAATATCTATGTTTTCAGAAACGTTCATTTGCTGAAAATCGCGGACAATATTAAGAAATATTGTAGTTCTTAAATTTTCCGCAGAAGTATAAGTGAAATTCTTTTTAATATGTATAAATAATTCCAAAAAATATTTCCAAAAAGTTTATGCTTTTTTTTTGAACACTATATGAAGTTAGATAAAAAATTCTGGTAACACATTTATTACCAGAAAACATTTTTTAACAGTATGGGGAATAAATAAATTGTATCCTGTTATGAATAATAATTGGAATTACCTTATATAACATTGCAAAGCAATCTATTGAAGTCTGTTGTATTTCATAATAATTCCACATTAAATGCATAGATTTGAATGCGAAATAGCTGCCAAACATTTCAGCTATTACTGTATATACACCAATGCTGCATGATTTCTTGTTTGCTATCATTAGTTCTAATATTACAGTAGGGCTAGCTTCTATGCCATCCCAGCGATTTAACCAAATAATCATTGTTATAAAAGTGCCAAATACAAACACCAATAGTCCATAGTTTTGTGCAACTGAGGAAATAAGTTTTAACGCTTCTTACAAAATGGAATACTTGTAATATCAATATATATAAAAGATTATCAACAACGTAGTAGAAAATAAAATAAAATATGTTAATTAAAACATGTACATTAAATAATTATATTACTAAAGGTAACATAATATATTTAACATTTAAATTAAGGATTAATAATTATTAAGTTAAGGAATTAATTTAAGGATAAAGATATAGAATAAAAATTTAAAAAAATAAGGAGTATTTAAATTCCGTTATTATAGATATATAAATGTAATGGGGGTACCCAAAATTGATTACTTATTATGATGCACGTATATTTATAAAAATATACATTTATAAAGGAAATATTCAATATAGTTGTATACCTGCAACTAATTGATAATTTATTGCACATAGCTCTGTCGTGGCTATTAATTCAAAAAGTATATTCTTCATCACTTCATTTCTATGTATATGGTTGATAAAACATGCCAACAGAGTTATTATAAATTGCAATGTGAAATATAACTTGAAAAATTCCAAAAATATTTGTGTCTGAATATTCAGATTGCCATATGTGTCACTTAAACAAATGTAACGTAAACAAATGAAAATAATACATATACAAAATAATTAAATAAAAAAAAACAAATTAAATAAATAAAAAAATAATTAAATAAGCAAATTATTAATTACATTCATAAATTATTTTCATATATAGTTAAAATAATATATAAAGGAAAAAACTTACAATGTTTGGATGAAATTGAATGTAGTAATCATTTTGTTTCGTTGCAGTGTTCCAACAGAGTTACGGTTTTATAAATTGATTTTGTCTGATATAATATGTAAAATTCTTCGTGCCGATTGTTTGAATTTTAAGTGTGTCAATGTATATCCGGTAGGAGGATGTTAACTAAATCTAAAAAGGAATTGCTGCAATGATAAAATTATATAAGGATATTCTAATTGAATTTATAATGTGGCAACATTTGTATAGATCCGGGAACACTGTGGATGAAAGTTTTCACAGAGAAATATATATACTGAAAATCGTGTCATGCGAATATGTTTTTTCTACATTTACTTTACAGCACGATAATATAATATTTCTCTTGAGTTTTTCACATACATAATACTTCATAGGCTCAATAACATTAAAATTTCAAACCGCGTTGTTAGCTCCGAAGTTGTATTGATAAACAGGCATTTCCGTTAAAGTGAATTTCAAAAGGGAAACGATTTCTGAGCGAAATGTTCTTACATAGTAACAATTGTACTTTTGTTAAAATCGATAGTTAATATTAATGTATAATTTCACTAATTTTAAGTTTAAATATAATATGTGTGATATAAAAGTAACTTTCATGTATAACCATTTATAAATAAAATGCGATATTTTATAAGGTATCGTTCTATATAGACTATTTTTGTAATATTGAGAAATAACTTGGTCGAAATTACATAGATTTCAAACTTTACTTTATTTACAAAATGCTCTTCTAAATCTGTTTTATAATAAAATATACATGATACTTATATTTTTATGTTATGTGTTTATATATCTTCATATTATGTTTCATTTGTTGAAAATATATATTAATAAGATGAATATCACGGAGAACACCAATAATTGATCAATTCGTCAATGTTGCCGAATCACCAGTAATGTGCATCGTCCAAATTACTTACAATACTTGAGCACATTTTTACGCAATGCGATTCATCAATAATCATCTCTATCAAAATATAAACGTGTTACATATGATAATATAGTTAAATTAGATTTGATAACATATTTAATAGTCTAAATAAAACAAGTTACGCAAGAATTTACCACCTTATGCTTATGATTATAAAAATTCCACTGTGGTACTCCCACTAAGACATTTAAAATTTATACAGAATTCAACGCATATGTCCAAATTATATAATAATAATTAAATAAGTAATAAATGTAACAGCACAATAATAAAATAAAGTAAATAAATGTATAAATAAATGTATATGCAGATATATGTATAAACGTGCATATATCTATATTCACACATATAAATAAATATATATAAACATGCATATAAACATATATATGTATATCACTACATATGTATGTATGTAGCTATATATATTTACACATGTTTATGTAAAACATATATGAATATGCAATATATATGTATATGCATGTATTAATATTGCATACATAAAGAATATAATATATTACATAGTGTATTTTAGATGGCAATAAAAATAATTTTTTTATAATTATACGTCAATAATTGCAAGAGTCAATGTTCGTTTGAATCGAAAGTTATATTCAACGATGAGCAATGATTGTTCCTTTATCTTCTACTTAACTTAAATATAAAGCACTTAAAATTATTTATAATCATTTTACATATCAACTTCATATTTATCATATTTAACAATTAGTCAGGCATTTCATATTATTAATTAAGTATATTTCAATAATAAAGTAACTTATAATGCCCATCTTTANCTATCAATATTATTATCATTATCATTATTATCATTAGTAGACGGCTCAGTTGCGAAACTTCTTAATAATTGTTTGTACATGTAAAATACGAACACGGCGAAAAGAGATCCGCAAACAGGGGCACACCAATAAATTAGTTCAATAAATAATCTTTGATAGATATTCTTTCTTGTACAACCATATCTCACACAATCACCTAACACTGGATTATTGAAACTGTTATTGTAAAAGAATCCTAAAATGCATAATATATATATATATATATATNAGTCCTAAAAGTTGTTAATACCATAGCTTGCAAGAATGCTCGATTATTCACATTTAGATATTTTCTGTACATATTTTCTGTACGCTGCGATGTACATTGTTAGTCTATGTACGCTTGTCAGTAGACACTCGAAAATAAATGTATATAGCACAAAATCCTAAAAATTTTTATACAAATATATCAAATAAACATTAAAAATATTTTAAATTGTACATGTATCATAGCTCATTGTATACAACATGACGCTCGAAATTAAATTAGTTTACGTAGAACTAATATAAAAATTTATATATCACGCATTTATATATCATTGTATATATCACGCATATGCGTTATTTAAAAAAATAACATTATAGTAATAGTAATAGTAATATTGGTGAAAGAATTTTTCATAAATATTTTAGAAATTGTTTAGAACTTTACATTATTTTGGATGTATGAAGAATCCTGAAACGGACATACCATAATCTGCTACAAATGACCTATGGACTTACCTCATGTAATTCTGGAGGACAACCTACTAACGTCCGATTGAATCGAAAGAATCTCCATACTGCACGCATATATATGAATGCGAAGTAACTGCCGATTACTTCAGCCAATATTATAAATATACCAATTTTGCGTATTTCCTTGTTTATTATCATAAACTCTAATATCACATTAGGGCTAGCTTCTACGTTGTACCATCGTTGCAACCATACAACTGTTATTATAAAGGTACACAATGCAAACGTCATTGGTCCAACTTCTTGTGTCACTGAGGAAACATGTTTAACGTTTTCTTTTTTTTTTTAACAAGATACTAGTGATATTAATTTATATAAAAGGTTATCAACTCTTAAATAGGAGACAGGATAGATTTTAATTAAAACGTATACATTAAATAATTATACTAAGGATAATACATGGTAAATTTAACACTTAAATTAGAGGAAACGATATATAAATAAAAATGAAAAAAAGGGGCTATGTTTTGTATGTCTAAATCCTATTATTATGCAAATGTAACGGCTACCCAAAGTTGATCGTACGACGATGTACGTATATTTATGACGAAATACATTTACAGCGGAGATACGCAATTTAACGTATACCTGCAGTAATTTCATAATTTATTGCACATAGTTCTGCCGTGGCTATCAGTTCAATAAGTACAACTATGATTTTGTTATCATACGTATAGCGGACAAAAAGTGCGCCCGGAGCTGTTGCGAATTGCAATAAAAAATAAAACTTGCAAATATGAGTAAAGGCTTCAAAGACTGTACTCATATTGAGAGATATGTACTGAAACAAATATAAAATCATTATTTACATACAGCTATTACATACAGCTTATCATAAACGATGAGCTTATCATAAAAATCTTAAAATAATTATTAATTATATACACGAAAGAGAATTATTTTTGCATAGGTAAGATAATATGTAAAGGAACAAAACTTACGATGTATTACGTAATCGTCCGGAATATTATTCTTTTTCTTTCGTTGGATTATTCCAACCACGTTACACTTTTTATACAAGTTTTATTCGATATAATGTAAGATTTTACATATCGTTTGCTCAAATCTAAAATGTATAAATATATATCCAGAGGAATACAAGTGAAAGAATTACTGCAAAGTATTGTATAAAAGAATTACTGCAAAGTACTGTATAAAAAAGAATTACTGCAAAGATAAAATTATATAGGGAATATTCCAGTCCAAGCTTAACTTATCGATGTACACATATGGAACTGGGAATATTGTCAATAATGATTCTCGCGAAAGGCTATATATTATAAACATTGTGTCACGCGCGGATAGGTTATATTTATATTAACTTTATAAAGTCAATGTGATATTTTGTGTTTTGAATTTTTCCCTGACAACATAACACTTTAAAGACTCAATAACGTTAGAATCGTAACCGTGATGTTTGTTTTTTAGTTGTATTGATAAATAGACATTTTTTTTTCAAGTGAATTTCACAAAAGGAAGGACTTCATTTTGAGATATACTTTTGCTAAAATTGATGGTTAATATTCATGTGAATTTATTATTTTTAGGCTTCATTATCATATGTGTGATATAAAAGCAATTTTCATGCGTCACCATTTATGAAAAGAACGCGGTATTTTATTAGATATCACTTTGCACAGCCTATGTATTACGTTGGAAAATAATTTCATCAAAAGTACGTGTATTTCAATTTTTATTCAATGGAAAAACTATTCTAGATAAATCGTAATAATAAAATATACGTGATATTTATGTTGTATAAGTTGCTTTTTAATTATTAAAAATGTGATAACATGTTGAATATCGTAGTGACCACCAATGATTGGTCGTCAACTTGTCAGTGCCGCCGAATAGTAATTAACGGCGCGACATGCGTCATCCGAATTAATTACAATACTTGAACGCATTCCTACGTCGTGCGGTTCACCAATAACCAGCTACGAGATATAAACATGTTACATGTGACAATATAGTCAAGATAAATTATATAATATTTCATTATTTTATGTTTATAATTGTGAAAGTTCTACACTCCGGCATACACGGAAACACATTCAAAATACAATCGCCGTTCGATGTGTGCGTTCAAACTATATTAATAATTAAATTAATAATAAATATTACAATAATATATTACTGTAATAAAACATAATAAATAAATAAATAAATAAATAAATAAGTAAATAAATAAATAAATAAATAATTAAACATGTGCGGATGTGTGTATATACATATATACATTATACTCGTACATCATATTTGTAGACAAGTATGTATAAACATATATATCTGTATAAACACATATATTTATATATCTATACATATTAATATATGTGAATATGCATATATATATGTATATATATGCATTAAAATACACATTGTAGAGAATAATATACTAAAACATAATATATTAAAATGTGCATTTTAGATATCGATAAATATACCTTTTTTATAATTATGCCAATAATTGCAAGAATCTTGTATCAATGATAGAAAACGCTTACTCCTCCTTTTATTCTATTTAACCTAAATTGTAAGCGTTGAAGATTATTTATAATAAACACAATAGTATTATATATTATTCTCATATAGTTAACACACACGATTGAATATTTTATATTATTAATTGAACTTTTTTATTTTATTTGAGAGTGTATTATTTACGCGTTAAATTACTGCTATAGATGACGGACGGCCTGCAAACACGATCACTGAGAACGGGAATATGTGTTTCCAAATACGTTCGCTTTCCATATATGCGCGTGTATGATGATGTAAGAGTTACAGGTAACTATTTGCAAGAAAAATTTACAAATATTATTATAAAATAAATATATAACCGATTATTTAAATATGTACTTAATGTTCCACTTGTGAAAATAACTCATGATGCTCGTCATCAAGTGCAAAAAATATTTTGGCATTGTAATTATAATTATCTTTTATATCAGTAAGCTTTAATAAACGTGTTTTAATTACTAATTGACTGCATTCGTAAAATATAAACAGAGCACAAAAAGATCCATAAAAAGGAGCGAACCAATAAACTAATATATTTTGATAATTATCAACTTCTGAACAACCGAATCTCACACAATATCCCAATATTGAATTATTGAAACTGCCGATAGTGTAGAATCCTGAAATGCATATTATTTTTGAGTAATTAACAAAATAGTACATTTTATGTCGTTTAAAAAGATACTAGAACAACCTATAGTCCTAAAAAATGTTAGCGCAATTGCATGCACCAATATTATAGCATGTGTATTCCAATATTTTTTGTCAGTTGCTATAATATAAATGACTAGTCTATGAATAATTGTCAATATCCATTCGATAGTAAATGCATATAGTAAGAAATCCTAAAAATTATTATTTTTATGAAATCAATAGTAAAATTATCTTAAATTATATATGTATATAT